AATGTTGCTTTTGAACATTATTGTTTTTTGTACACAGAAAGTATAAAATATAGGTATCTGTGTTTTATCGTGTATCACTTCTGCTTGTAAATATAATTGCCGCTTTTGCCCCAAAGGTGTGTATAAGCAGCTCAGAAAGGGTCAGACTGCTGTCCGTGCATATATACCAAGCTATAATTTGTATAATTTATACAAATTTGTACCATTCATAAGTAGCCCTATACATATTTGTCTTGTATTCAGGAGTAGGCTTTCAAAGATGCCCTCTGTTACCACTTTTTTTAGAGAATTGTGTTATATAAAATTTTATTGAGATTATTACAGTAAATTAAAAAGAAGGAATAGAAAAAGGGGAGAAAGATAATATGGGGGAAATATTTTTAAAAGCAGAGGAAAACAGCAATAACAAAATAACCATAAAATGTAATGAAGGATACAAAACTACATAGTATATATGTAGATGGACAGACATTGTTTCCCTCAAGAATATGTTAAGCCGTGTGCCAGTATGGTTTCAACAAATACATTCCAAATATTATTAAATTTGTGCATGTATAATTGTCATCTGAAGGCGATCTATTCATGCGTTGCATCCATCCATCGATCCATCGAAGTGGACTGTATTTTTGTCCTGTTTCAGCAGCTGTCATCCTCTGACTAGTGCCATCTTTTCTGAGGGGGTCCTCTTCATTTTAAGGGGCTCATCTTGCTTTAGCTGTTGTTTACTGTGACAAAGCAGGGGGAACTATGGTTCCACCAGGGCTTCTGGCTGGAGTCCTCTACCTCAGTGTTCCCCAACCTTGGGCCTCCAGCTGTTTTTGGACTACAACTCCCATCATCCCTCGCTAGCAAGACCAGTGGTCAAGGATGATGGGAATTGTAGTCCAAAAACAGCTGGAGGCCCAAGGTTGGGGAACACTGCTCTAACTCAGAGGAGGACCTAGGACCCTCGTACCTTTAAGGACCGCCTCTCCTATTATGTCCCATGGAGGACCTTATGGTCTTCAAACAAAAACATCTTGGAAATCCCGAGCCACAGGGAGGCCTCAACCAGAGCCAGGGCTTTTTCGGCTGTGGCCCCAATCTGGTGGAACGCTCTGTCACAAGAGACCAGGGCCCTGCGGGACTTGACATCTTTCCGCAGGGCCTGCAAGACAGAGCTGTTCCACCAGGCCTTTGGCCAAGGCACAGTCTTTGGTAATCCTCACAGAACTCTAGCCCAATGGTTGCCATTAATTTGATTCTGATTTGATTTTAAAATGAATTGATTTTAGAATTCTGTGTTACTTTTATTGTTGGTAGCTGCTCTGAGCCCGGCTTCAGCTGGGGAGGGCGGGATATAAATAAAATTTTGTTATTGTTATTAATGTGACACCATAGGGCAGGCTTCCTCAAACCTGGGCCTCCAGATGTTTTTGGCCTACAACTCCCATGATCCCTAGCTAGCAGGACCAGTGGTCAGGGATGATGGGAATTGTAGTCTCAAAACATCTGGAGGGCCGAGTTTGAGGAAGCCTGCCCTAGGGGTACTGGCATCACAGACATTGTGTAAATGTTCCTGGTTGGTGGTTTGCATTTGGGGGTGGCTTGAGGGTAACTCTGTCTCCCAACCTGAATCCCTAGTGTGTCTTCGGAAGAAAGGGACTCGTGATGCTAAATTAGCATTTTAGTACAATTCACTACATCTCTTTTTAGTTTAGCTTACAATGCATATTGGATGGTTTAGTTCAAGTGTTGAAACTAGTGTTGCACAGATATTAACCTGGTAGCACACCGTTCTCACTTTATAATAATTGTAGTAGTTGCTGCAGCAGCAGTATATTGCTATATAATAATAATAGTAGTAGTAGTAGTAGTAGTATTAATGATAGCGTTTGATACATTTCTAAGTGAAATAAATCATGCTGATAGGTTTTCCTTGCAACCAATTTTTAACAGTGAGCTTGTTTGTAAGGCAGCTGTTGTCCCTCAATCTGTTTGCAACTCCAGTTCCAATATTTACTGTCACTTGCGCCTTTTTCAAATATCCAGACCAAAGCTCCAGGGCATATCAGCATTCAACCAGATTGTAAAATATGTGCAAGGTTAAATTAAAAGCAAGTGTTTAAGTGGATTAGGGACACCCATTCCAATCTTGGGATCTTTATCCATAAACTCAGTGGCGCAGACAGGGCCTCTGAAAGACCAAAAAAAGAGATTTATCTATACTTGGCTGGAGTTGCCGGTTTGTTTTTATTAGACCATTTCCTGGCCAAGTTTCTCAATGCTGAGAAGAAATGATTATGAAAATGTCTTACCCTGGGGCACTTAGGAGCATGCAGAGCTCCCTAGGACTTGTCATTGCTGGTCCAGTTTGTATTCCTGAAGAAATCCCAAAGTTCACACATAGTGGGAGAACACGGCTATACCAGAGGGATGCTTTTACTGGTCCACAGAAACTCATTGCCTCACCTTTCCTGCCTCATGTAGTGTCTTGTAAACAATGGCTGATGTATGAGTCTCTATGTTATGGCTGCGTATCCCGATTCTTTGTCCTGCCAGTTCAACTTGGTGTTCGCCCAAATGAAGGGGGTCACACTTAACAAGAAATATAAAAGTCAGTTTCTAAACCATAGTATGGTGTTTTTAACTTCAGAACACAGCCATGTTGACTTATGCCAAAGAGCCATATGCCTCAGATGCAGGAAGCAGCTTATCTGAACTAATACTCTGGCTGCTATCTGTGCTAAACCTACAAGCAAAGTTAACAACTCAGCCTAGATATGGGTGTGAGCTATGAGAGGAAGATGTGTCAAATAGATAGATAGATAGATAGATAGATAGATAGATAGACAGACAGACAGACAGACAGACAGATATATGAATGTGAAAAACATTGGACAGAATTGGTGATTATACAGAGTCATGCAGCATGTGGAGCAGAAACTGGGTTTCATCTTTAGCCTGCCAAGTAATGATATTGCAACGCTACTTAACAACCCCACCCCTATGAGAAATTTGGGTCGTCATATAAATGCTTTCATTTTCTCCCTAAATTTCTACTGTCTCCCCCCCACCCACCCACCCAAAGTAATCTCCAAAAGTTTCCTTTAAGCAGAAAATTGGTGGTAGCGGTTTGAGAGCCACAAAAAGTTATACCTGTCTTAAGAGAGTCCTGTCAAGTTTATGCAAAACTCCTACAGATGATTTGCCTTAGTAAGATTCGTCAAATTCAACACAAATTTCAGTTTAGGTGAAATTCAGTGGTGTCACTAAGGTTCTTCTGATATTGGAAGCGACAGAAATCACTGTTATGAGTGTTATATGAGTTTGTACATGGGTGTTGGGTGTGATTTTTTTTTAATGAACACCTCTGATCCCTGATGATGTGCTCTACAGACAATTTAAGCTTGGGTACTTCAATGAAAGTGACTTAGTTGGTCATTCTGATGTAAAAAACACACACAAAACACCCTATACCCATTTCGATCAAGGTTCTCTGGCTTATCTGTTTTGCAGATCAGGCTTTATGTATTGGTTTTGAGCTGAGCACTCAAGGTTATATAAATTTTGGAAGAGAAGGCTACCCAATGGCTCCCCCAATGCCTGTTGGGGGGCTGGAAATGGAATCCAGACTTGCTGGTTTTCGAACCCTCGTTTTAAATGCAGCCTCTCTTGTGTGTCACCCTGAACATTATCTGGACACGGTTTGCATACGGACCGGGAGGACAGTCAAATGTAATTAATGCCACATGTTACTCTGGAAGTGGGCATTTTACTGGGACTGCGGCAGAATGCAGACCAATATGTTTGGGCTCCAAGTTGCATGTTTCTGTTTACTGTGGGTTGTATCACTGGCAGCACTGTTCACCACTGCAAGTGCATTCAGTCTCGCATGTTTAAAATGTGAGTTAAAATAAACTCCGCAGCATGCATGTCAGACTGTACATTCCTCAGTGTTTCTTCCAGGCGTGATTTTTCACGCTCCTATTAGATACAGGGACGTCACCAGAATGCAACTGTTAGGCATTGCTTTTTGTGTATAGTGCATCTCTTCCATGACATGGTAAATCTTAGCTCAGCCTTCACCAACTGGAACTACAAACTCCCATCAGCCCTGCAAGACACCAGGTTGGGTGAAGACTGTCTTAGATAACCTTCTGTTGGCATTAAAGCCTTTGTAGTCTTCCTGTTGCAAGCTAAGTGTGTTAAAAACAATACAGTGGTACCTTGGTTCTCAAACTTAATCCGTTCCGGAAGTCCGTTCCAAAACCAAAGCGTTCCAAAACCAAAGTGCACTTTCCCATAGAAAGTAATGCAAAATGGATTCATCCATTCCAGACGTTTAAAAGCAACCCCTGAAACAGCAATCTAACATGAATTTTACTATCTAATGAGACCATTGATTCATAAAAGGAAAGCAATAAACTGTGCACTGCAGTCGCACAATCAATGAACCGGTAGGTGAACTGGGTTCCACACAGTCACAAAAACAAAAAAGAGAGCTGCAAAAACAAAAGCGCAAAATAAATAGACAGACCTCAGCGTAACACTCAAAACGGAAGTGTGGCACTCAAATCGGGAGCGTAACACTCAAAATGGAGCACATTCGGTTTCCGAAAACAGTTCACAAACCAGGACACTTACTTCCGTGTTTGCAGTGTTTGGGTTCCAAGTTGTTTGAGTACCAAGGCGTTTGAGAACCAAGGTACCACTGTACCTCATCTTCGGACCCCTGACCAGGAAGCGATCACTACTAAGCCACCACTCCTTTTAAGAAACATTTTCCCCTCCTTTCTTTGCAGCCACAGCATCATCACTTCGTTGCCCAGTTCAGATGGAGCTCTCTCAGCCGAATTCATTTACTCCCCCCCCCCTTTCATTGCTAACATGCTTTATGGCCCTCTTGAGACAGTGTGTGTGAGAGAGGGGGGAAAGAAATTGGCGGGAACTAACCACAGAGATGGATCCAGCAGTCAGGAGGTGCTCAATTTGAACTGCACATCTTTCTCTTTTGTCAGATTGTTGGCTGTGACCACCAGCTGGGAAGCACTGTCAAGGAAGATAACTGTGGGGTCTGCAATGGCGATGGTTCCACCTGCCGGCTTGTCCGAGGCCAATATAAATCTCAGCTCTTGGCAAATAAACGTAAGATGTTGATTTGACTTTTTGCCTCAACAGGAATATGAACGCCCTCCAAACAATGATGCGTAAAGGGACCGGTCGCTTCTAAGGGTTTTAATTATAACCCAAACATTTTAAAAAATGTTTCCTTTAACTGTACTGACCCCATGCTGGGAAATCAGGCAGAATTAATCTTCCATCAACAAAAGGCTTGGCGTTTGGATTCTGAAGGCACGCAGATGGAAGATAGGTTTGCCAGATGTCGCAGAGGACATGGCAGCTTTTTCCTGACGCGTCAGAAGGAAACTCCACAGGTGTGTCTGCTCTGGTGTTGCCGTGATGGAGAAATCGGCACCTGCTCAATGGCTTTCCACTTGCTCCCCTGCAGCATAGCCACTACAAATGTATACAAGCCCCATTGGGGTTAGAATCAGGCCACAGCTGTGGCACACACACAAACACTGCAATATTTTGTGCCCCCAAAACATGAGATAATATTCGTAAGCACTTGAAGCAAAAAATGGAATGGGGGAAAGCTATGACATTCTAGAATGATTTACTCATTAAATGTTGCAGATGGGGCCAAACTGCTTTGTAATGTCGGCCTGATGGCCCCTTCTCCATTGCAGTGCACCTTTGGTCAGGAGCTTTCTGGTGGAAAGGGAGTGTGTCTGCTCCCCCTACCCTTAAAAAAGATTTTTTTTTCATGCTCTCATTGACTTCTGCCTATGTAGATGCCCCAGGCACACAATTACTTTGACAAGATGATTCTAGAACCAATGGGGTGCAGAGCATGAACCCTGCTGGGCGGGGGAAGGGTTAAGCATCTCCCCTTGCTACTAAGTGCCCCTCCATGAGCACCATGCAATAAAAAAGGGGTAATAATTACATGTGGTTGTGATGTAATGTGTAGCCAGGTACAAATCATCCTGCTGTTAACAGCAAAGGTAAAGGTAAGGGGACCCCTGACCCATTAGGTCCAGTTGTGGCCGACTCTGGGGTTGCGGCGCTCATCTCACTTTGTTGGCCGAGGGTCATGTGGCCAGCATGACTAAGCCGCTTCTGGCGAACCAGAGCAGCACACGGAAACGCCGTTTACCTTCCCGCCGGAGCAGTACCTATTTATCTACTTGCACTTTGACTGCTTTCGAACTGCTAGGTTGGCAGGAGCAGGGACCGAGCAACGGGAGCTCACCCCATCGTGGGGATTCGAACCGCCGACCTTCTGATCGGCAAGTCCTAGGCTCTGTGGTTTAGCCCACAGCGCCACCCGCGTCCCTATTGACAGTTAACAGCTGTTAACAGTAATGCTTAGCTTTTCCTCAACTCTGGCCAAAAGTGAACATTCGTTTTACAGAATGCATGGTTTACGTGTGTGTGTGTGTGTGTGTGTGTGTGTGTGTATTCTGAATTTAGAAAGAAAAACTGGCACATGAACTAAACATCTAGAATAGCATGTAATTTCTGACAAGGGTGTGTGGAGCCATTTCTGCTGAATATCTATCCCACCTATTTATGTTTGGTTTCTGTGGGGAACATGGAAAGGCGTTTGTTTACAGAATCATCCTTACGGTCTCAAAGAATAGCCCGATGGCTAGAAAAGTTTGAGACACACCCTGAGTTTGCACAGCGTGCTTCCGAAAATGAATGCACTAGCTGCGATCTGCCCAGCAGAACAAGGAATAACAATTCACAGAAAAGCTGAATAGTCTTGTGCAAATGCTACATGTTGTAAGACTGAGAGCAAACCAAGCCAACCTGGCTTAGTCGGGACCAGCAAATACATTTTGCCGCCTGAAGCAGGACAGCAAATTCCACCCCTCAATATGTCAAAGACAATAGTCCCCCAGTCTTCTCAAGTTATTTTGGCATCTGAGGCAGACAGTTTCACAGGTGCCTTTCCATGGGAGTAAAAATGCAACAATAATAAAATGATGAACAGTTTGCCACCTTTTTAATGGTGCCCAGAATGAGCTGCCTGAGGTTGCTGCCTCACTCTGTCCTATGGTAGGGCCAGCTGTGGGCTTGGTGTAGGAGCAGGGAATTTGCTGGACCCTCAGCTCCCAGCATTTATTTCTTTTTTAAAAAATAATAATATTGATTTTCTTTTTTCTCATCACAAATATACTTATATCCATAATGTACAATTTGTGTAACATCTCCCCCTCCCTCCCGTTGGACTTCCCTCAACTTCCATTTCTGATTTATTATCCTCATTATTTTTACAATACATCAGTATTTCCACTTTGTTACAATATTTGTTCCCTGTCCATAAAATTGTGAATGTTTATTTAAATCCTGCCATCGAGTCGATGTTCTTTCTTTATTTCTGCAAATATAATATAAAAGGTTCCTACTCTTTTTCAAAGTCACTATTGTCCTTTTCCCGAAGTCTGTCTTGTCAGCTTTGCCAACTCTGCATAGTTTGTCAGTTTTTCTTGCCATTGATCTTTGGCTGGAATTTCTCCAGTCTTCCAGTTCTGTGCTAACAGTGTTCTCGCCGCCGCCGTAGCATACATGACTAATGTCCTTTTCTCTTTCGGCAGATCTTGCCCTAAGATACCCAACAGGAAGGCTTCTGGCTGCTTAACAAATGTTGTTCTAAACATTTTTTTCAATTCATTGTACATCATTTCCCAATACTGTATACTTTAACGTTTTTACAATCCCACCACATATGGTAAAAAGTTCTTTCAACTTCTTTACACCTCCAACATTCCTTCTGTTCATTTTTATATATTTTTGCCAATTTAACCGGTGAAATATACTTTCTTTAATACATCATCTTCATGTAATTCTCTTTTAACAACATACAATCTGTGAATTTCAGATTTACTTTCCCAAGTTTTATCCAATCTTCAAATTGTATATTGTGTCCTATATCTTGCTGTCCATGGTGACTGGGGCTATGGGCATCCAGCAACAGGTTCCCCATACATCCTTTGCTTATTGAATAGCGATGCATTTCTGCTGGGGAGAAACAGGTCCAAATTCCCACCGAACCATTAAGCTCACCAGAAGACTTATTAGCTCTGTCCCTCATCATAACCTGCTTTTAAAGGTGGTTGCGGAAATAAAACAAAAGGGGCATGTATACTGCCTGTAGCTCCTTAGAGAATGGGTAGGATAATATATATATAGTAAATATTTCCAGACCCTTTCTTTAACGGGTTGGTTAGAAGAATTGATGCTTTTGAATTATGGTGCTGGAGAAGACTCTTGAGAGTCCCATGGACTGCAAGAAGATCAAACGCATCCATTCTTAAGGAAATCAGCCCTGAGTGCTCACTGGAAGGACAGATCGTGAAGCTGAGGCTCCAGTACTTTGGCCACCTCATGAGAAGAGAAGACTCCCTGGAGAAGACACTGATGCTGGGAAAGATGGAGGGCACAAGGAGAAGGGGACGACAGAGGACGAGATGGTTGGATAGTGTTTTTGAGGTTACCAGCATGAGTTTGACCAAACTGCGGGAAGTAGTGGAGGACAGAGGTGCCTGGCGTGCTCTGGTCCATGGGGTCACGAAGAGTCGGACACGACTAAACGACTAAACAACAACAAACAACTATATACTACTACAAAGAGTTGGAGATACACTGCAACATTTTGCTGCAGGTTCTACTTATGTGCAACAATTTTCAATCTGAAAGCACTGCTCATGTTTCTGTGCTCTGGAGCTGCAGGCCTTGCATGACTTGGCTGTTTAATCTCAGGGTTGCTGCAGTTATTGCTGCTACTACTTCTATAGAGAAACCATCGAGATAGAGAAACACCCTCACAACATGAACAAGCGTGACGACACATCCCGCCTGCCAGACATCTGGAAATTAGCCCTCCCCACAAAAACCGACACCAGATCCAGAGGCACACAGAACGCCATCACCAATCAACCACACCAGACCCAAACCCAGACCCTCTCCACAGATAAATTACAGACACCATCCAGTAGCCAAACCATGGTGGCACCTCCGGATGCTGCACCCCCCTGCAATCCCTACACAGATCTGGCTGGCACAGGACACAAAACCACAGCTCGCCCCTATACACGAAGCCAAGCCAGAGCACAACTAAGTGCAGTACAGCCATCTTCTCAGAAAAACTCTTCACAAAGTTCAAGAGGTCAAGACACTTCAGCGGTGCTGCATTATTTGCTGCTACACTTCTAATACTACTTCTATATATTTTTAAAAAACCTCGTCCAAGTATAATTTCATTCCCATACTTCCTCTCCGAATCCATAACTATCTTCCCGCACAGCAAGGCATGGCATAAGGAACATTTGGCTGCTGGAGGGAGTCTGCTTTCATTTCTGGTTTTCCTTCCCTCTTGTACTATCGCATAAGGGGGGGGTGGAATTGTTGCCTGGGATTGAGCATCTGTGAAGCAGGTAGCTTAGAAGCTCTGAGGAACGCCGCTGTACTTAAGAGATTCCCTTTTTTAGCACTTCACATTAGCAGCTTCTGTGCCAAAAGGAAAAATAAATGCTGGGAATGTTTTTTCTCTCTGAAGCATTCCAAACACACCGCTGTGTCCATCGTATTGAATTAATTTTCTCTCTGTATCTGTGTTCAGTTCTGTTCCCCCACTCTGCGGACATCGTGGGGTGGGATGTGGAGGGGGGAGTGGAGGGTTTTTGGAAACAGGGATCAGAAGACAAGGATGTGGATGGAGCAATGCAACTGTTAGCACTTGCAACGGAAACAACTATCTCAGTATTCACAGGGATAGTATATCAGTCCCAGAAGTGTGAGAAACCGGGGGGGGGGGGACTACCATGGTGGGAAGAGAGATGTGTCCCCCCACTTCCCTCCTACGCTCTTCTGAAGGGGAAACACCTGGTTTGGTGTCCCCTCCTTGCAAATAAAAATGAAAGATTATTTGAAAGATCTGGCGCTTTAGCAATCCAGGCTCTTTCTCTGCATCCACCAAAAGTACTTAATGTGTTTTTATTACTCCTGCTTGTAAAACTAGTCTGGTTTGTGAATTTTTTCTTCTGCAGCAAAGCCCCTGCATGGATGAATCTCTTCCCACTTTGACCCTGCATTGCCTCCGAATCAAAGGCAGCTTTTCAGAATCCACTTTCTCAAAGTAACGGATAAAGTGCTGATCCTGAGCTCATCTGTCACGTGCACAGTTTTTGTGGGCTGGTTTCTGGGCTGCGCATTCTGTGTGAGCTCTCCACTTATAATAATATAATAATAATTTATTATTTCTACCCCGCCCATCTGGCTGGGTTTAACAAAGATTAAAAATACATTAAAATGTCACACATTAAAAACGTCAGATGTCTTCTAAATGTTAGGTAGTTGTTTATTGCCTTGAAATCTGTTGGAAGGGCATTCCACAGGGTGAGCACCACTGCCTGGTTCCCTGTAGCTTTGCTTCTCGCAGTGAGGGAACCGCCAGAAGGCCCTCAGCGCTGGACCTCAGCGTCCGAGCAGAAAAATGGGGGTGGAGACGCTCCTTCAGGTATACAGGACCGAGGCCGTTTAGGACTTTAAAGGTCAACACCAACACTTTGAATTGTGCTCAGAAACGTATTGGGAGCCAATATAGGTCTTTCAAGACCAATGTTATGTGGTCTCAGCGGCCGCTCCCAGTCACCAGTCTAGCTGCCGCATTCTGGATTAGTTGTAGTTTCCGGGTCACCTTCAAAGGTAACCCCACATAGAGCGCATTGCAGTAGTCCAAGCGAGAGATAACCAGAGCATGCACCACTCTGGCAAGACAGTCTGCAGGCAGGGAGGGTCTCATCCTGTGTACCAGATGGAGCTGGTAGACAGCTGCCCTAGATACAGAATTGACCTGCGCCTCCATGGACAGCTGTGAGTCCAGAATGACTCCCAGGCTGCACACCTGGTCCTTCAGGGGCACAGTTACCCCATTGAGGACCAGGGAGTCCTCCACACCTGCCCGTCTCCTGTCCCCCAAAAACAGTACATCTGTCTTGTCAGGATTCAACCTCAATCCTTCACTTCAGTCCTGAGCTCTTCAATGTGTGGAAGGCAGCCAAGTCAAGCTGTCAGGATGCAATAGAGGGGACTAGGCCACCAAACACATTTCCACTCCCCTCCTGGGGGCTAGAATGCCTGGAAAATTGAGCTGTTTCACTCAAGGACAGTAGATTTCATGCCATGGGATGGGTGAGCTCAAGAATTAGATCTTTTGCCAGGAATGTGGGTGGGGCTTCTGAAAGACCCCCCACTGCAGAGTAGCTTTGAGAAAGGATTCGCTCCTGTCATGCTTCTGAAGTCTAGAGACTTTGATTCCCTAGCAATGCAATCCTGTGCATGCTTACTCCATAGTAGCTAAAGGGGGGGAAATCAGTGGGGATTATCTCCCAAGTAAGTGTGCATTCCAAGGTTTGCAGGCTATCTTTTTGGGAAATTTGTGGGTTTCGGCTGAAATCCTAAATGTACTTAGTAGGGGGGGAGTTAAGTGCTGTTGCAGTTGACTTACTTCTGAGACTGTATGGGACTGTGTGTTACTCAAGCCTGATTTGGATAGTCAAACTTAATTGAATAAAATCTCTGAGCTGCTACCATTATTGGATCAAAGGCAACTCCTGTCTTCGCTGCTTTGCACTTCTCAGTTTGCACATGCACACACATGGACAGCTCTTATCTGGACCTCTCTCACATAAACACACTGGCATGCGCTGATAAAAGGACAGCTTTGCTGACATTTTCTCTAACTTTGGCTTTATGTCAAGACTAAATGGATTGCTTGCTAGGGATTCCAAGCTACTTTGCCTCAAGTCACAAGTAATTCTTCTTTAGCGGTATTCCAACGGATCACACGTGAAAATTGTTATCTCCTCTGCACGGATACATGCACAAACAAGCAAGCATCACAGGGTCAAAACGGCACAATTTACCATACACTTTTATTCATGTATGTATTGTCCAGCTTGGGTGAGCCTAGGATAATGAGAGGCAATTCACCAATTGGCCAGACAGACATTATTTCAAATGTTGGACCTTAGGAAAGTCGAGCCCAGGGTTTCCCAAACTTGGGTCTCCAGCTGTTTTTGAACTACAACTCCCATCATCGCTAGCTAGCAGGACCAGTGGTCAAGAATGATGGAAGCTGTAGCCTAAAAAGTTTGGGAAACTGTGGTCTAGACCATGATATGACTCAGGACTTACCCATGTCCGTTTGCCCTACCACTTTCCCCTCCCAAAAACCTGTGGTTTTGCACTGAATCTGAAGATAAAATGGCTATTGAGTTTTCCATGGACTGCTATTCTGATTTAGTGCTAAAGAGCAGGTTTTCAGCAGTAGGGCAAAGGCAGAACCTCTCATGGCACAAGTGGAAGTGTTGGCCAAGCCTTCAGTGAACTGTGTGCTGCTTTGTGGCTTGAGCAACTTGGCTTTGAAAGGGACACCTTCACTCTGCTGCTGGCTTTGGTGGAGTTGAACATTTAAAGTCAAAAGAAGGCTACAGCAGAACTTGCATTTTCACAACAGAGTAAGAAGAACAGACTGTGGCTGTGTTGAGCTTACTGGATTTTTTAAAAAAATTAAAGCTCACATAGAAAGGTTGCTGTTACTTGCACTTTAGATGACCTGTGGGTAAACATAGACTTTCTATTTTCAGCAGCCCCATTCCATTAAGTTTTTATTAACCAATTTTTTTGTACTACAAGGGTAGGCAGCAAAGGTTTCACTGACCTTTCCTAATGTTCGAGGCAGGTAAAATATGCTTGCTAAGAATTAAAAAATGCATTAAAATAGTTTTCCTGTTGGTTTCTGAGGCTGTGATAATGTTTTAGTGCGTGAGAATGGGGGAGGGAGGCTGAGCTGGCATCCAATATGTATTTTAATTTAAAGTGGTGGGATGATTGGGATAAAGAGTTTCAAGTATTTGAGTTTGGCACCTAATTTTGTTTTCTCTGCCTACAAATGTCAGTTACGGAGCTGCTCCAGCCAGCACCAAAATGGGAGATCTTAAAAAGATTAAAAGTTGGGGGTTTTGTTTTGTTTTGTAGATCCTGTGTGATATTTCCTCTCCATTCCGTCCTACTACCTTGCCCCCATCATCTGAGCAATGTGACCACCAAACCCCCCAATTCCCAGTTCCCACATCCCAACACCCCAACCAAGTAAATATTTCATCCCCCCTCCCAAAGAAAGATCAAGTTCTCATTGCTTGCCAATAAAATATCTCTTCGCCTTCTGCCGTAAAAATGTTGATAACTGTTTAATGACAATACAGATGCACAGTCAAATTTCTGAGGAGGCTCACAAGAAAGTCAGTAAACAGCTGGTTTGTAGCCTAATATCTGCAAGAGCAGCTGTTGCTGTGGACGTGTAATAAGTGTTTATTTTACAAAGCAACCCTGTATAATTAAAGTGATAGCTTTCTCTTGAAAACAAGGGCATTTGTCTAGCAGCGCAGCACACACACAAAGTCTGAGAGACGGTAGAGCAGAGCATAATTGTTTCATATATAGCTGTTCTTCAGGGTTCATTGGGTTTGAATGTTTGTCTTTTTAGGTGGCCCAAAACTTGGCTTGCCATTTTCCCATGAAGAACTGTTTTCACTGCTTGTATGGGCACTTCCTTTGCTTGTTGATCATGTATGTTTTTTTGCCTCCCTCTTCCCCCACCCAGCGGATGATACCGTGGTTGTTATTCCCTACGGAAGTCGACACGTTCGCCTGGTGCTGAAAGGTCCTGATCATCTCTGTGAGTAAAAGTACACTTTATCGTTGGTCTCCCGTTTTTAATTGCTGTCTTGTTTTAACAGGGCTGTTTAATCGTGTGTTTTAATTGCATATATTTCCAATTGAATGCCTTGCATGAACTTGGTTTTTGCACTATGAAAAATGCTTTGAAGCCTATTTCGGCATTGCATGTGTGTTAATTACACAATAATAGTCAAATGCTCATAATATGCTGTGGAGCTGTATTTACCAAAAAGCCAAAACAACTCTACAGCTTCTCTGCCCCTGCTCTCCTGCCCAATGTGAGAGTCAGCCCTATCCTCAAACGCCACTCCCAAGAGCATCAGGTAGCTGCACAATTATATGAAGCTATAATTTAACCCAGGGATGTGGGTGGCGCTGTGGGTTAAACCACAGAGCCTAGGACTTGCCAATCAGAAGATTGGCGGTTCGAATCCCCGCGACGGGGTGAGCTCCCGTTGCTCGGTCCCTGCTCCTGCCAACCTAGCAGTTCGAAAGCACGTCAAAGTGCAAGTAGATAAATAGGTACCGCTCCAGCGGGAAGGTAAGCGGTGTTTCTGTGCGCTGCTCTGGTTCGCCAGAAGTGGCTTAGTCATGCTGGCCACATGACCTGGAAGCTGTACGCTGGCTCCCTCGGCCAGTAAAGCAAGATGAGTGCCGCAACCCCAGAGTCGGTCACGACTGGACCTAATGGTCAGGAGTCCCTTTACCTTTACCTATAATTTAACCCATAAATAAAACACTAATTTTCCAGCCCGCTTGATGCACAGGACCGCTGTAGAAAAGATTGTGCTGGTTGATGAGAATACAGTGAAGGCTTTCCTGCTGCTCTGCTGAAGCACCACATTGCTCATGAGCTTAACACATGTTCTTGTTCATATGTTTTCTTTGGTATTTCTGGACTTTGGAGACATGTGCATTTTGTACTGGCTTGTGCTGTTAAAGGATGTTGCCCAAAGAAAGCATACCAGTGCCCAAGATAGTGGAGCAGAGATTATGGTTTGCTAAGGGTGGGATGTAAGGAACGCAGATGCACTGGAGATCCCCAAGGAGCTTGTAGTATATCATACCACGAGCTCAGCTTAAGATATCTGAGCGGACTGGCAACAGATATGGAAGGTAAATATTCCAATGAGGTCCTGACTTGCAGAGTCTCCAGTTGGCTTCTTTTCATGAGCTCAAATGAGGGAGCCAAAATCATTAACAGCCATATATGTTCCTGAGGGCCTAGAGCAGGCTTCCTCAACCTCGGCCCTCCAGATGTTTTGAGACTACAATTCCCATCATTCCTAACCACTGGTCCTGCTATCTAGGGATCATGGGAGTTGGAGGCCAAAAACATCTGGAGGGCCAAGGTTGAGGAAGCGTGGCCTAGAGATACAGACTGAATTAGATGGTGAAATACAGAGATGGAAGACAAGAGTTCAGAGTACACCCAAATAGAGTTGGTTCACTTGGAGGATCACATGATTGAAGCATGGGTTGTATCCCCTCCCCAAAGAACAGGTAATTCATGATGAGATGATGCTGGATTTTTAAAGGGGCAACCCCTATTTGTCTTGCTTTAAGCCTACAATTTCTTGCATCTCATGAAGCCGAAGTCGCTGTGTGAGTCATGCAGTCCTCAGCCATATCCCACAGTAATAAAAGTCGGAGGGAAGCTCATTGCATTATGGGCCTGCTGACTTAACGTCTTGAGTTGTGTTTCGTGATGACACAGTAAGAAGGTGGGGAATTCACTATAAAAAATTTCATCCTTGTGGTGAAAGTAGCATCTAGATCAGCTTAGTTTATTGCCAGTGACACGTTGGATGATCAGGACAGTGTCCCTTTTACTTGCTGTGAACACGCACACACACACAGAGAGGCCCCCCCCCCCCGGTAATTGAACCAAACAAAATACACACCAGGGAAGAGATGTTGAAAGCAGGTGAAAAGACACATATTAACTGAATTCATCATGGCCGTTAAAATGGTGCAGTTCTCCCTTGGTTTTCAGGGAACAATATAACATGATTTTCAAGATTCTAGAAAGCCCACTGAAGAAATCTGCAATAAGTTCTGGTTAGATGCATAGTCACTTAAAAGTTACAATGTGAGAACTGGATCTCCATAAATCTCTAAACACCAGACCAGGGTTAATAGTTTATGGGTGTTTGGTACAGCCATATAATATTAACTGGTTTATCTGTATGTGCGTAATAATTATCCCGTCCCCCTCACCAATCCTATCTAGTGCTATGTGAGGCTATGTAGCAGTCGAGAGAAATGAAAAGTGCAAATATGTGAAGTGGAGGATCAGACAGAAAGCGAAACACTCACACCCATGCTTTCACAAGCATAGCTGAGATATCATAAATATTGTGCATCGCAAAGAGTTGTAGAATAGAGGCAGATCAGCTCCATGTAAGCAGTGCCTTGGATGAGCTCATTCAAAGTGAGCCGAAGGACCGATACGACTCCTAAGCAATAGGCAGATGGTGAATGTCATCCTGGAGTAAACTTTACACAAGATCATGATCTTGTCATGTGTTTGCAATAAATGTGTTCTCCTGGCAAGAAACCAGTGTGCTCTGTTACGCTGAGCCTGGTTCAGCTTCGGTAATGTGAAGATACTGAAAGAAATTCCCTAACAAGCCTAGCTGATTGACACCTAAGGCAGTTTTCATTTAACAGGTCATATTTCTGTGCTGCACCATGACTTGTCATGCCCTTGTCTTATTGCATCATGGATTAAATACCCTGGGGGAATGGGGATGAGCCCTTGGGCATTGAGCCAACAATTTGGTTCTGTAAGGAATATCTTCCCTGTCCCTGATCCTATCCATGACTCTCCCAGGCACTGTTCTTTTATTCCTTTTTTTGTTCTCCTTTCTCCTCCCTCTACTATGCATTTCCATGTTCTCAAAACATTCTGGGGCTAGCAACGCAACCTAAGTCCAAGGAAGGGGTTGGTGCTGGTGAACCAGTTAGGTAATTCGTTTAACTGCCTGGTGCAGAATCGTGTGTGTTTTGCATGAAATGTAGAAGGGGATTTTGCATCGCTGTGGAAAATGCATTATTAAAACAGAGTTCATCCTGGCCGACCTGCGGAGCTTTTTTGGCTGGAGCTTTCTGTTCTCCTTGGCTAGCTCTGGAATAAAAGCCTTTATATATACTTCTGTATCTCATTCTGAAAGAGGCCAGGAAGGAGTACAACTTCCTCTTGGAATCTCAGCACACACACACAAACACAAACAGAGAGAGAGATATACACAACACCTTCTTAGTTCTACTGGGAATTTTTCTGGCTCCCAAATAGATAAATAAATAGAAAAAAAGAGAGGAGACCAAAATACACTGGAATAAAGACCTGTGCAGGTCTTAACAGAGATGTTCACAAGCATAGGCATTAGTGAGGGCAACTTAAATGATTGGCTGCTCCTTATTAACGGAGGGAAAATCCATCTCACTCAGCAAAAAGGACATTTCCTTAAAACGTAGTATTTCCTACAAATGTGCTTTGACATTCCCGGTACTAATCGTTTTGCTTGCTTGTTTTCTCTCTGCGAGCTGCCGAAACAAGCGCACCCTCCTCTTAAATGTGTTGTGTTTGGCAGATTTAGAAACCAATACGCTGCAAGGTTTGAAAGGCGAAAACAGTCTCGGCTCCACAGGTTCGTTCCTCGTGGACAATTCCAGCGTGGACTTGCAGAAGTTTCCGGACAAAGAGATCCTGAGAATGCCTGGCCCCCTCACTGCAGATTTCACTGTCAAGGTGAGAAGCTATGACTAAACAATGCTGTTCTTTTTAAGGAAAGGGGAATGCGAAACAACGGGCAGTTCACTTCAAAAGCAGTGTATCAAAAGGCCACTTATCCTTCCAGTTCTCTGCCAAGATTGACATAGAGATGGGGTATCTCCTATGAAATCAGGTGGGGAGAAAGTCCCCGTTGACCCTCAATGCTCATAGTATGGGATTAAAGGAGAGGAATGATTGCCCCTCTGCATGTAGCACGCCATAAATTTGAAGCAAATTTCATCCCCTTCCAACGAATCCTGGGTTGTTGTTGTTTAGTCGTTTAGTCATGTCCGACTCTTTGTGACCCCATGGACCAGAGCACGCCAGGCATTCCTGTCTTCCACTGCCTCCCGCAGCTTGGTCAAACTCATGCTGGTAGCTTCGAGAACACTGTCCAACCATCTCGTCCTCCGTCGTCCCCTTCTCCTTGTGCCCTCCATCTTTCCCAACATCAGGGTCTTTTCCAGGGAGTCTTCGCTTCTCTTCTCATGAGGTGGCCAAAGTCTTGGAGCCTCAGCTTCAGGATCTGTCCTTCCAATGAGCACTCAGAGCTGATTTCCTTCAGAATGGATAGGTTTGATCTTCTTGCAGTCCATGGGACTCTCAAGAGCACCATAATTCAAAAGCGTCAATTCTTCGGCGATCAGCCTTCTTGATGGTCCAGCTCTCATTTCCATACATCGGTACTGGGAAAACCATAGCTTTAACTATACGGACCTTTGTCGGCAAGGTGATGTCTCTGCTTTTGAAGATGCTGTCTAGGTTTGTCATTGCTTTTCTCCCAAGAAGCAGGCATCTTTTAGTTTTGTAACCGCTGTCACCATCTGCAGTGATCATGGAGCCCAAGAAAGTAAAATCTCTCACTGCCTGAGAACTAGCTTCAATTTGCAGCACCCTTAACAAACTGCAGTTCCCAGAATTCTTTTGGAGGTAGTGAAATGGGCTTTAAATTTATGTTGCATATGCTGCCTATATCTTTGCTCCTGCACACCTCTGAGGAATCAGAGCTGTGAGCCCTCCAAAAGGGCTTTCGTTCAGCATTAGGTAGTGGGTGGGAGGGTGGGTCGTTAGGAAGATAGCTATACAGTGGTACCTCTGGTTACGTACTTAATTTGTCCGTTCTTAACCTGAAACTGTTCTTAACCTGAAGCACCACTTTAGCTAATGGGGTCTCCCGCAGCTGCCGCACCGCCACCGCCCAATTTCTGTTCTCATCCTGAAGCAAAGTTCTTAACCTGAGATACTATTTCTGGGTTGGCAGAGTCTGTAACCTGAAGTGTATGTAACCCGAGGTACCACTGTACAAAGAGTTGCAAACTTTTATTGGAAATATGTCGTTGCAGGCTATTGCTAGTGCTCTGTGTGTCGTTTCTTAATGAATAAATTGCCAAGTTAAATAGAGTAGAATCAAAGCTCTTAGGGATGAACACATTCATGGAGTGGAGGACAAAACACTTGTGGAAAAGGCAGGTCGGTTATGAGATCCCAGCTAAAATAAGAGTCAGTATAAAATGAAGCGGGCAAATTAGACTCTGATTCAGGCTCATCATTCACTGGTTTTTATGCTTCTCCAGTCTCACAGAAGGTGTAAAACTGCATATAAAACTAAACCCTGAGCCTCTCAAGATGAGCAGGCTGGCTTTGGTCAAGAAGTCATTTGTATAATTTTGAAGTTCTGCTCTGAGCAGTGCTGGCTGTAAGAATCAAGTTGTTTCCTCACATTAGTGCTTTCCTATTCTTCCAGGTAATATAAAACACATTGCTGGAGGCAGTGTGCACATTCTGTAGGGGAAGGGGGTGAAATTGCAGAGACAAATGTGAGCATTTGGGAATTACAATAAAATAAAACCCCTTTTTGGGGGAGGCGGGGAGGTAGGTCAAGAGGGCCTGAAGGATTTCAGCTGTAAAGCTGTAAAAATTGCATTGTGTCCAGGATACCATAAATTTTTCATTGTGGGATACAGTGTCAGAGGGTGTTTGATGTGAGCTGATTCTGATGACCTTGTGGCAGATGGAAATGCAGATGGTTGCGTGGAAAGCAGAATATGGGATCAAACCGAACTGAAGAAAATAGAATAGAATTAAGTCTGTGGACTTTGTGTGTATGTGTGGTACCTGCCCTTCATAACCCTCTCCAGATGTAGCAATCTGGTCCAGCTGATAAAATGTTCCCAATGCAAAAACAGTTTTTGTTGTTGTTGTTAAATTTGCATTCCTCACTATAACTGTATATCTCAGGTTAGTTCACACAAGGTACCAAAAGAGGTGTTTATTAAAACTGGGGGTGCCAATAGGATTTTCTGGGTCCAGTACATGGTATGTGGATTGGGCCCTCCAACCAACTTGTAGAAGAGGACATATGTTTGCATGAAAATTGGATATGCTTTGTGTGAGATGGGGAAAAAATGTGGCCTTTTGAAGGTAGGGTGGGAGGCTCAAAATCACATCCGTGGCCACACACCAAATAAAATGCCTGACAGGCAGGATGTTAAACATTTTCAGCTACTCTTCATCAAAATCCACACATGTTCATAGGTCATCGGCTGTTCTTCAGTACAGCAGAATGAACCACTTGTCCTCTGTCTTTTCTTAACTTTTTTTCTTAAGAGTTCTTGGTAGTCAAACTATGGTACCTGCATCTTTTCTTGCCCTTTGTGCAAGTTTCCCAAACTTGGGTCTCCAGCTGTTTTTGGACTACAACTCCCATCATCCCTAGCTAGCAAGATTAGTGGTCAGGGGTGATGGGAATTGTATTCCCAAAAACACAGCTGGAGTCCCAAGTTTGGGAAACCCTGCCTTAGTGTTTTGACTGTTTTAAACTTACAACAGCTCCTTTATTCAGTGCTATTGCTAAGTCCAAAAGTAAAATTTAAAGAGCCATTGCGGTTTATTGCCATCAGTCTTGGCTGAATTGTGTTCTCATCAGAGTGTCCTGATTTACTTTTCCAGAAAAGCAATTCTGGACCAAACAGAACTAAGCAAAAATGTAATTAAAAGGTTGATCGTTGAAAGGGGGGTGTCCTTTCTCTCTAAAAGCACTTACTATGAATGTTTCCATTTAGAAAAGTGAAATGACCTAACTAGATGTAATCTCAATTATGCAAACATTTCATTCGTTTCAGCTGAGAATTTGCTGATCAGAATGTAGGTGCCAAAGATTTCCTTTTTCCCCCTAATACAGGTTCCTTTAGCTGTGAATTGCAGAATGCAATGTATCTGAAAACAATCCTTAGAGTATATAGTACTTTTAACAATAGTAGTATGTGTGATCAGGCCAGCAACTGAAAGAATTTTCCATACGCTTGGTGAATACATTTAAAGCAATGTTGTATTATATCATGGTGGCCTTTACTACAAAGATATATTGGTTTTATATCCCTGTCACTGTCATGGCTTCCCTCAGTGAATTATTGAAATTGTAGTCAGGTGACGTACTCATAATTTTCTGCTTGCAATTCCTTGCCACCTCCCAGTTACAGTTCCTAGGATCCTCTAGAATAATTATTAACAGTGCAGCCTTAACATTTTACTTTTATTAACAACTAAAAACTAGCCTTGTGTACAGGTGCAGCAAAAATTAAAAGGCAGAATAGCAGCCATGTAGCATTGGGCATTTGGTGTTTATATGGTATTCCGTGGCGCTTGTAGTGGCAGCCTTATTAATTGCTCGGAGACATGAGTGCTTGCAGTGTGAGGAGCCCAGAAACTCAAATGCAGATGGATATAATTGCTTTGTGGGCGGGGGCAGTGTTGTAGTACCATGTCCTAGGAATTCCTCACTTATATGCTTCTCAAACAAAAAAACAAGCACATGTCCTCCAACATTTCTCTGATGAAAATAGGGCAACACTCTGTCCATCTGGGCAGCTTCCAGCACATATAAAAACACAATAAAACATTCAACATTAAAAAAAACCTTCCCTATACAGGGCTGCCTTCAGATGTCTTCTAAACATTGTATAGTTACTTATCTCTTTGGCTCAGGGGTCGCATAAAAGCGGGACATTCTGGGATCAAAATCAGAAACTGGGATGGCTTCTGTAAATCCGGGACTGTCCCTGGGAAACAGAGACACTTGGAGGGTCCGTAAGCATATATCCCACACTTGCATATTTATCTAGTAATAGTGATTAATCCTTGTTTCCTTATTTTCTGAGGAACAGACCCTTAGAAAAACTAGGAGAACTTACTTGCTGTACTTTTCCATCTATAAGATGCCCCCTATTTTTGTGGACTGTAATTTCATAAAATGGGGAGAGGTGGCAAAAAGTTGTTGAGCTTTTTTTAGGGGGGAATACTGAAAATCACTTACCAGCATGCATCACAAAATCCGCCTCCAGTCTGTTCCCTCGCTGGCAGATGCTGCCAATCGCCCGCCCAATTGTCAATTGTCGCAGCGTTAGCCAATCAACAACACCCATTGATGCAGCAACCAATAACACGCACAATAGCCGTTGACAGCTGCGGCAGCAACCAATCAAACAGGCACCCTATGCACTACCCATGTATAAGACGACCCCCACTTTTTTGCTTGATTTTAAAGGGGGGAACCTAGTCTTATACACAGAAAAGTACGGTATTTAGTCTCAGTCCGCTATGTCTTTTCCCCTTATCTTTGAAAGGGTCTGATGGCAGACATTTTCAACTCATTTTCAACATTCTTAGATGCACAAAACTAAATCCAAACATGGGTTTCAAGTTCAGAGCTTGGGTCTGTGTGCATGTGAAAATGGGATATGAGTATTCTAAATCAACCGATTCTTTGGGACTGCTCTGGAGATGCGGCCAGTCAGGAGTGAGGAATGATGCAGCCAGTGGTTGCTGAACTCTGACTCCATCATGCGCCTGAAATCTTCCACCCCACCAATTTAATACATCTATGGACCTGAGTCTGCGACTATCCCTTCTCCAAGCCTAACCTGCTAGGTATTCACCATACTAAAACACGTAAGAAAGCAATTTCAAGTTCCTTAGAAGTGTGTTTTCCTTTGTGGAAACTTCTTCCTTCTTAACCTGACCGTACCCCTTTTGCAGATGGCTATTTGGTGATGACCTAGCAAAACTGGATTAATATGTCATTTTGATTAAACCAGACAGCAGCAGATGTAACCTTAGAACATGCATCTTAGGTCAGGCTACTGTAAACTCCAACAGGCAGGAGTAAATTGATGGGACCCACGTTGCCAAAATCCAAACAGTTCTGTTTAGCAACAAGGAAGTGAACTTATCTGATTAAAACCGAAAAGTTTTTCAGTGGGACTAACTGCCAGAGAGATGTTTCAAATCACCATTTCCTATCATAGCTTCAAGCGTAAGATTATTTATTGCGTTTATCACAAAGAGCCCTGTTATTTATGGATCTGTGTGAAGTTTGATCAAAGCGGACATATATTAGCTCACAAGGGAATGGAGGAATAGCTGGTGCCTAGGCATACAGTTGTTTTCGGCATCTGCGGTAAACGGATAAATCATTTAGAAACAAAGGGGAAGACATTGATTGCTTCGGGTGCTTCCTTCCTTTCCTCCTTTCCTGGATCATTCATATATACATATATATTATATCATGTGGTTTTGATACCAAAGCAATCACAGGGCTAAGTGGACCCATTTGCTTTATTTAAGTTTCCTGACATCGGCGGTGATCCTAAGCAAGTTCATCAGGAAGTCTCGCCAAATTCAGATGCTTATTTCCATATGAAAATGCTTCCATATAAAAAATTACTTACTGGGTCTTGAACATGCCCCAGGAATCCTGAGCTCCTCTCAGCTTCCACTGTGTACCTTCAGATTCAAAGAAACTTCATTTTTCAAATGTGGTGGGTGTTAAGCCCATAACATGTGTGGTTTCGATAAACTGAGCAGAGTAATACTCTTTGGTGTTTTCCATGGTACAATGCATTTAACAGATATATTTAGAACCTGTACTTTCCCTTGAACTTGGGTTTCTGAAACCAATGTTGGGATGGCCAATAGTGCAACTAGCCACACAAAAAAATAATAGGCAGAACAATTTAGGAACATGGGTGGATATTATTTGTGGTGGTGTAATAATAATAATAATAAAGCAGAGACATCACCTTGCCAACAAAGGTCCATATAGTTAAAGCTATGGTTTTCCCAGTAGTGATGTATGGAAGTGAGCGCTGGACCATAAAGAAGGCTGATCGCCAAAGAATTGATGCTTTTGAATTATGGTGCTGGAGGAGACATAAGCAAAAGCTTTACACAAAACGGACGTTCCCAGCAAGCTGTGCTGGAATGTAAACAGACATGTGACATACAACAACTCCACACATCTGTTAAGGTGGAACGGAATATCGTAACCAAGGCCTCTCAGGCTTGCTGAGGTGGCCCAAAGGAAAGCAGAGCAAGACGTTTGGCACCAGCTTGGCTGCAGGAGTTGCCAGAAGGAGGCGTACCCAGCACCAATCCAGCCATTTTAGGGGCTCCACTCTGGATTTGCTTTGAGTTTATTCCTTAGCCTTTTATCCCCCTGAGTCAGGATGAATGCTCAATCAATGGGGTGTCTGGAGAAACCCATTCTGTTTTGGTATCATCTCAGCAATTGCCTGGTTTTATTTATTTCTATCAGTTCTTTATTCCCTTTAGCCCAGAGGTATTCTGGACTGGGTGCAAAACAACAAATTTAATTTAAAATACCTTTAAAATAGATAAAAAGTCATCCAACTAATCCTAAGACTAACATGAGGAGGCAGCCCCTAGATCCATTTTACTAATTCACAACAGAAGTGAGCACCACTTACTTTTGAGAGACATCGTGAGTCAGAATGTGGAATTGAGAAGAGATGCTTCCCTTTTCAACATGGGGACATGGCTTCCTGGCTTGTGGATTCTCCCCCCAGCTTTTAGAGGTAGTCCAAAGTTTTAAAATGGGTGTGCAGGCAGGATACAGCATTTAGCTTTCAGCAGAATCAACATGTGTGCCTAGTCAACAGCTGAACCTGCCTCCGGGCTGCAGAACCCAGGTCTAACCTCTTGTCAAACAACACGGTAATCATAATAGTCTCTTCTTCTCCCAAAGCCTATCCAGCTTTGATGAAACAATAAACACTCTATCTTTTCTTTTCTTTTTTACTGATTTCTTTTGCCTCGTTCACCTAGTAATGTTATTTTTCCATCTGTGATTAATTGCAGTGTATTCCTGGCTGTCTGAATAACTTCCCACTTATTTCAGGAGATTGATCTGCATCTGCCTTTTCTCTGTGTCAGAGAAGACAGATAATCAAGCAGACAACACGACAAGAATCCTTGGGGATCTGGGTTGTTATGTCTTCCCAACTTGGGATGTGGAACCTACTCAACCCTTTCAACTAGTCCCTGTATAATCTCTCTCCTCATTTATCACGCTCTGGCTAGGACCTCACACATGAGACCTTTCAGGTCCAGGCAACGTAGTTGGTCCTTCTCTCTCTCTCTCTCTCTCTCTCTCTCTCTCTCTAAGCTACAAAAGCTTTCATTGCTGCGCATTCCAGTAAGAGATTTCAAATAGCATCTCGCATGATACCATTCTGGTTCCCAAGAGTCAGCGGGGCTTTTCGTTAAGTTCAGATCCATACTTGATTAATGTACCACCCTACTTCAAGGAACTGGACATCCTGTTTATGGCATGTTCAACAAAATGATATTAATCCATACAAGAGGCCTCCTCCATTGCTACAGCTGTATATATATATATATTTCAATGGGGAATTTGACATCACTGTTTATCTTGGTTTTAAAAAGACCAGCTTTCCCTCAGTAGAGTGCAACTCTTATATCTTTCAACGTATCCTGAAGCATTTCTGCCTTGGTTCCCCCATTCCCCCCCCCCAGCTAAAATGCTATTTTATTAGTACTTACGTTCCTCTTCCTTCCTGAAGAAATAAGTAATTCAAATATAATGCAATTGGTTTGGTATCTGTCCCCCACCCCATTCGTCGCTGGCAGTGCACTTCCACTGTGCCGACTTCCCTGTTGCCTTCCATGTTTCCCCTTTACTGCTAGGGAAATGGAAAAGTGCATTTAATTATTATTATTATTATTATTATTATTATTATTATTATTATTATTATTTATACCCTGCCCTCCCTGGCCAAGACCGGGCTCAGGGTAGCTAACACTGAATATAAATACAGTAAAAACATTTTTTTAAAAAACCACAAAAAAGTTGATTAAAATGTAAGTTAGAATGCAGTTTAAAATGCAGCCTCGTTTTAGTGGTAGCCTCTAGATCAAAGCCATAAGGGGAGAAAACGTCAAATATTCACCGGGGCCAACTATCCATGCTGGACCTACATGGGCCAGCAAAAAGAGCCAAGGGAAAATTTATATACAAATCACAGATAAGGGGTTCCATTAAAAAAAGAAGAAGAAGGGGGGGGTTAGACTGAGTCCAGCCCAAAGGCCAGGCAGAACAGCTCCGTCTTGCAGGCCCATTTGGAAAGATGTCAAATCCTGCAGGGTCCTGATCTCCAGCAGTAGGGCGTTCCACCAGGCCGGGGCCAGAGCTGAAAAGGCCCTGGCACTGGTTGAGACCAATCTAACCTCCTCAGGGCTCGGGACTTCCAAAGTGTTGTTATTTATGGATCTTAAGGTCCTCTGTGGGGCATACCAGGAGAGGCGGTCCCATAGGTACAAGGATCCTAGGCCGCATAGGGCTTTAAGATTCGCAAAGTATATACACAAAGTATCAAATGTAGTAACAGTAATAATAATGCCACAGAACAACAACATAAACTGGCTTATAAGTAGAAAACCAAATTTACTAGAATAGTAGCTAGAATAGAGATAGACTTGTAGCCATTCAAGCAACAAACATACTAAGGTGCCATGTGCAAAACAAAGCCTAGAGATACTGTAAACATGGAGTGGATAAATGTACAACTGTATCTTAACAAGGCAGCTTAGTATGTTTGTTGCTTGAATGGTCACAAGTCTATCTCTATTCTAGCTATTATTCTAGTAAATTTGGTTTTATTCTTTTAAGCCAGTTTGTGGTGGTGGTGTTTTGTTGCTTTAGGATTCGAAGCTTGCCTAATTTACTTTGATATGCATCCCTTGTTTAATACTTCTGTACAGTGGTACCTCAGGTTACATACGCTTCAGGTTACAGACTCTGCTAACCCAGAAATAGTGCTTCAGGTTAAGAATTTTGCTTCAGGATGAGAACAGAAATCGTGCTCCGGTGGCGTGGCAGCAGTGGGAAGCCCCATTAGCTAAAGTGGTGCTTCAGGTTAAGAACAGTTTCATGTTAAGAACGGACCTCCGGAACGAATTAAGTACTTAACCCGAGGTACCACTGTATATACATTTTGACATAGTTCCAGCAGAAGGTGTAATATGTTTCTCCTGCTCTGAATATTACCAGCCGTGTTTTTTATTATATTTTGTGAACTGTACAGGTGTTTGATACCTGCGCTACATACCTTTCAACTTTACCCTGCAGCGTTTCTCCTTTTCAGATCCGTTACGCTGGTGCTGCCGACAGTACGGTTCAGTTCATTTTCTACCAACCTATTATTCACCGATGGAGAGAAACTGATTTCTTTCCTTGTTCCGCTTCTTGTGGTGGAGGTAATAAATTTAACATTGTTTATAGCGATTTGCATTCTGTACCAATATACATAAGGTTAAGTTGTTGTTGCTTAAAAAAAGGGGATGAGTTTCGCTCATTCTGAATTAACTCTTGTTGACTCTTCATCTTGGAATGGATTTCACCTGTTAGGAATTGCTTGGGTGGGGGGGAGTGTTGATTTGTATTTGATTAGTACTTCTGTACAGTACAGCTACCTCTAGGAAAGGTGCCTGGAAAATGCCATTCACACCCAATTAGCATGGGAGCTAGGGACGCGGGTGGCGTTGTGGGTTAAACCACAGAGCCTAGGACTTGCCGATCAGAAGGTCGGCGGTTCGAATCCCCGTGACGGGGTGAGCTCCCGTTGCTCGGTCCCTGCTCCTGCCAACCTAGCAGTTCAAAAGCACATGCAAGTAGATAAATAGGTACCACTCCGGCGGGAAGGTAAACGGCATTTCCGTGTGCTGCTCTGGTTCGCCAGAAGCGGCTTAGTCCTGCTGGCCACATGACCTGGAAGCTGTCTGCGGACAAACAGCGGCTCCCTCGACCAATAAAGCGAGATGAGCGCCACAACCCCAGAGTCAGTCACGACTGGACCTAATGTTCAGGGGTCCCTTTACCTTTTTAGCATGGGAGCTGATTTGCCACATCTTAGTTCCCCCAGGGGGGAAAAAACTTCCTTGTTTTGCCCCAGAATTGTGGCTTCTGCTGCCAATCAGAGAGGGGAGGAGAACTTGCCTTATGAGCTCCCTCCACTCCCTAAATATTGTAGTTACTCTTTTCTGCACCCAACCCACCTCCCTATGCAGTATGGACTCCGCTAGTTGCCTGTTCAAGGGGCAGAGTAGAAATTGGGGGGGCAAGAAGCCCTTTCAATTGCCCTTGGGCTCTTCTTTTTTGCCTGTTTCATGCTGCTGTGAGTCTTGTTTGGAGTAGCGCTGTTTGCTTGTCGAGGTCCCCAAGCCACCCCAAATAAAAACACAATTGACGCATAATTTTTGCTTAAGGTTTCTGTCATAATTTTGGCCACAACTTTATTAAAATACAGAAAATGTGTGAAGTTTCTTAGGCATTGGTTGTGGCTATCTGACCCCGCACGGGGACAGACTGACATTCGCACACGAAGTCAGAAATGGAAAACATTTTGGGGAGAGAGACGGAGCTGGGAATCATGCCCTCACCTTTCCCCAAATGCTCCCAGGGGCTCTTGCATGGCCCTAGCCCCTTGACAGGAGTTCGGACAAAAGCATGGCGAGCCCCTGGATTCCTTTAACGGAAAACCCTTGCAGCAGCATTGGAGGGGCAGGCACAGCCAATCCATACCCCTCCACAAACCAATTCCTAAACCAATGCCTTACCGCAACCTTACAAGTTGTGATGATTTGCTACGCAGTAGGCAAAAACCAAATGGCACCAGCAATCAGCCAAATAGACAAAATTCCTACCTGGCCCCTGCCCCAAAAGCAGACGACCCCATGACAGGCATAGCAAGGCCAAGCAAACAACCCTAAATTACGGAGGGTGGGTGGCTGATCCGATGCGCACAGCGAAAAGAGGAAGCTCAATGCTGCGCACAGGGCTTTTATCAACTTAGGCTGTCAATCATGAAATGGCAACCTATAAATCTCCCCAGCAACAAGAATCTCATTGAAAATGGTGGCCAACTCCCTTATTTCCCGCCCAGCAACAGTGGGGTGTCTTGCTAGCCCCCACTGCAACACATGCTCTCCATGAGGGAGAACACACTTTATTTGGTCTAATTGGCGATTAGCCTGGGCAAGAGTTAATGTGTAATCAAATGAGGCAGTGCTGGGTTAAGGATGCTCTGAGTCACCTTTTGCTCTGCTGGGGTAATTGGGGGCTCCCTTTTTCTTGGCATGCATCCTGGGGTGAACGCTGAACCACACCACAGTGTGCATGCAGACCCCAGATTTCCAGGGCCTTCTGAGCATGAGGAAGGGTTCCTTCGAATCCTTTTCTCCAACTCCATCACAGGCAAGGCCTCTCATCCTGCCATTCGGTGTGAGGGAGTTTAACCCTCAGGGCGCTTCCCCATCCTGAATATATTTTGATGTGGTGAATCAGCTTGTTGGTTTGCAGATCCTCAAATTTTGTTAAGTTTCAATAAATATAACCTTTCTCAAAGTTGCTGGTGTGTGAGTCTTTTCCCAGGTGTGCTGGCAAAAACACTGCATCTCATTTGCAGCGTTATCTGTCCCAAGGGAAGTGCATTTCTGTGGAGGATAATTATAGAAGGTGGTTCATTGCTATTTATAACTCCAGTGTGGTCCACAAGGATGCATCAGTACCACTGATTAATGACTTGCTTTTCACTCTTATACTGTAAACCATCTCTCCTTCCCAGATTACTTCTCTGTTTAGAAATTCAGTTCCTGTATCCCAAGTTAAATATAGAGATAGATATATATGCATGTTCTGAAAGTATTTGCAGTTGCCAAAGAAGGACTGAAGTCATGGCTTTCACTAATTTCGGAAATGTTCAATATGAATATGAGGAAACATCTCACAAAGCTTTTCTGACTATCTTCAGATTATGTGCATGGCACAATTCCTTTGGGAGATTCCAGGTTTACAAAGATGCATATCAGCGATGTTCTACCCATTTCACCCCTACGTGTTTTCCAAATCCTGTTTGAAAAGTATAATCTTGAAAGTTGCCCTGAAGAGAGAATTAAGTTCAGTACCATTACAACTACTGAACGTGTTCATTTGTCTAACTGCTCCTTTTACAAAAAAAATGCACCTAAATTTCACCCTATAGGTGAAGTTAGCCATATTACAGAAACAGGGTCTATTTATTTGCATGCTTTTTGGAGCTATATTTTTGTTTTTACTTTTAATGTATCCAGCATGTGCTTTTGATTCCATAACTCATCATCAGCTCTGCAATTTGATTGGAGGAAGAGATCCAATTTATTGGACTCAGTAAGGCAAATGAAAGGGCAAAGTTAGCAACTTGAGGTGTGATATTGGGTACTACGTATGTGATGCAGGCGTACTGAATCCTAGTGCACTGGGAAGAAGCCTGCTATTTGAACTTCCCCTTGCCTCTTCCAACGATTTTCAAACAATTTCATTAAAGGAATTGTCACAGTGACTTGTCATGACAGCCTCCGGGGGAGTTATGCAATCTTTGTGGTCAAGGATAGCAGCACCTAGAGAGAACTGGTATCTGGTAATTGAAATTAGGTCACAACAGTCGATACTCCCATATGGGAAATTACAGGGGGAAAGGGAGGTAATGCTCAGAAGGAGACTCGTAATGCAGAATGCAAAAGCTGGACTTTAAGGGGAAAGATAAATCATCCCGAAAGATACAAGCAGTTGGGGGAAGTTTGCACTTTCCTTTACTACTTTATCATTTTAGATTTCTGTAGCACCAAGCTTAAGAATCTGAGGTTGTTGTACAGAAATCAGCCTAGGGCATTAACCCTCTATAAAAGAGAACCGTATAATATTGCAGTTGACATCAGCATGCAGCTAACCAAGAAGAGGCAAAAGGAATCAATTTCCACCTTAAGAAAAGCAAGGGCCAACGACAAGCATTCTATAAACTTCTTGTTCCTCTCAAGGAAACTGCCATCGACAGTATCCACCGACCTTTGTTAACTCTGAATTATACTTTATATACAGCAGTGACTTTGAATTAAATAAAATCCCCAGAATAAAACAATAGCTGGGAAGCTGATACTTTCGAATGTTTCTTTTTGAAAGGCTTCGGCAATAGGCGAAATCCAATACTGCTGTTATACGTGCAGAATAGCTCTTGATCCAGTGAAGGTGTCTGTCAATGCAAGAGAAGGGGAAGAAATTCTTGCCGGTTCTCCTTTCCCCACTGCAGGACTCCCTGGAAATCTGTTTCAGAGGGTTGAGGGGGGGGACCCTCCGAAACATTGTGGGTGAGAGTCAAGGGCCTGTAGGGAAATGAGAATAAGAGAAAATCATCTCTTCTCATCCATTAGGGAATGACTCTCTTGGATCAACAGCCATTTCATGAGCAAAACAGCAGAACAGGATTTCACCTATTGTCTTGATAAATTGTTCAGGCCTCAAGATATGTGACAATGTAATAGTTAAAGTTATTGCAGGGCAATGGACCACCTGTCCTTTTTAATTTCGTGTATGTAAATAATTATTGGGGGAACGTGTTTACATGAAATGTTCACAGATAGCTGAGAAATTACAGTGACTTCCAGTCACATTTTTGGAAACCACGTGGAGGGAAGCCGCTTAGGGTGGCTGTTACGATTGGATGCAGGTGAGAAAGGACTTAAGCATCTTCTCCACGACTGCTTCTCCTCCCTAAATAATGGTTTCCCAAAGTTGCATTTCATACCTTTAAAAAACTCCATCACGACTCAGCCACATAGGTTTGTTAATTTGTACCTAGCCTCTTAGCTCTAGTGATACATGTGACCAAAAGAACGTTTGGAACAAACCTATATTTACATTCTTAAGACCCACTTGCAAGGTCTTTTTAGGCTAGCAAGTACATTCTGGTTAGTATTTTAGCCCAGTATCACAAACCTTAGCACTGCAAGTTAATTCAGAGTTGTGTAGTTGTCTTTGTCTTTTCTGAGTCTAGATTTTTTTTTAAGGTTACCAGCTGACTTCTGTCGAGTGCTATGATCTGAGAAGCAATAGAGTGGTCTCTGACCAATACTGCCACTACTACCCTGAAAACATCAAGCCAAAGCCAAAACTCCAGGAGTGCAACCTGGATCCTTGCCCTGCCAGGTAAGTCCGTTCACGATTTTGAGATAGTTTACGCTGAGCAAAATCAGACCAGTTAATTTATTGTTTAGATATTGAGAGGATTGCAAATAGCTTGTTATCCAGCCGGCATGTACAAATTAATGTAACTACATTGATCGGAACATCTTGAACTGGGGCAGGGGAGAAATCCCAGGACATTTTGTGTTCTGGTATAATAAATTAACTGGGATCTGATTCAGCATTTTTGAGGTAGATGTGGTGGACAACTCTTGAAAGAGTTGTTAATGTAGCTGATGTCTCTGAGTAGGCATGTTTTTTGGGATTGCACTGAAAAGTGGGATATTCAAAGTAATTTAGTTATGCACTTGGAAATTATATTTTTTGAATATATATATATATATATATATATATATATATATATGAGAGAGACAGAGATCAGTAGCATACTGTACGTGTCCTTATGTTGTCGAAAGTTTAAGAAAGAATGAAGTCACTGAAAACTGAAGATATGCTCATTTTAGCACGGAGAAGGAGCTCCGCAGTTAAACTTAACTATATATGCTTTCTAGGGATGGTTACCTGGGAACAAAAACTAATTCACAACTTTGCAATTGCCCCAATTTTGCATGGTCTTCTTCCAGTCATTATGAAGCTGCATTTTCAGAAAAAGATAATTTTCTTTTGAGCAAGGGGGCGTGGGGGGGGGAGATATATAACTGTGGAAACATTTCTGGAGAAATGCCCATCCCATATCACTGGCATTTATCCACAACTTTATCAATGAGGAGAAGGTTTGTTTGTTTGTGTTTTCATCAAGCGTTGCTGACGGTTGAAAGGAGAAAAATACTGATAGCATTAGAATGAAAATATAGGTGAAATTCCAGCCACCTTGTATTATTGAACGTTATATTCTTCCAATTTGAAAAGGGCACTTCATGAAAATTAAGTATTGACCAGGGCTTTATTGCTTGTCACCTTTGACCTTTGATTAAATGTTCCCACTCCTTCTGCTCGGAACCTTATGGTGTGTTTCTAGTTTTGGGTTTTTTTAAAAAAAATAATCAATTGCCAACACAGAAAAATAACGTGAATTGGGTCTTGTTAGACCAGGGGAGAGACAGACTTCAGGCTTGTTGGATCTACTTTGGTTTTATTTTCTAGAACCTCAAGGTCTAACTGCCAGAATGAGATACAAAAGACATGTGGTTAGAATCAAAGACGTGGTGCCTCTGAGCATATTCTGAGCTTAGGAATTTGTCTCCAGGACCAGACCTGAGCTCACATCTTTTTAACACAAAAGTCCACTTCTGATAGCTTTCTTTAACTCAGCCACGGGTGCCATCTAGGAGGGACTGAGGGGCCAAGGGCCCCCCAAAAAAACAGATAAAATAAGAGCTCTGAGAATACAATGAGCAGGGCATTTAACATTCAGTGATGTTAAACGTTTGCCTGAAAAGGATAAGCAATATGGAAAGAGATTGCACAAAATAGAAGTTAACAATTAAGGCAGAATTGGCCTCCAGCAAAGAACATGACCACAAACCAGATTTATAATAAACCGTAGCACTAACAGGAGCAAGGAAAGCAAACTGTAATCGGCTAGCTATGGCCTGCCTAAGATATTGGTTGCAGGTAGCATGATAGCTCTGTGCCCTGGCCTGCCCAGAGCAACAGAAACAGGCATTATTGAGCACAAGATACAACTGATGTGCTGCGTACAGGTACAACCCCGTGTCTACATGTTGTGCCAGCCTGAATTATCAGGGTAAATAGAAAAGTGCATTTTCACAAATTTGCAAGTTGCAGTGTACCATAAGCAGAGGGAGACACACGGCAGGCTGCTCAAAATGTCAGTGGTGCCTGCAAAATAAAGATTAAACATGCCTAGGTATTTATTTTTGCCATTCATTTTTAAATGTTTGCCTTTCTTGATGTTTATTATATTAGAGCTCACACACGCCATTTGTTTCTGGGAACTGATTTCAAAGCTGTTTTCCAGTTTGGTATATATATATATATATATATATATATATATATATATATATATATAACCTGACACTACATATACATAAATGTTAAGACCAGGTGGCTGCATGGTGCATGCATATCAAAAGAAAGAGAAAAATAACTTCTGGGCAGATGTCAGGGAAGTAATTTTTGCTGTTATACAAGGCAGATCAACGTGAGGCTGCTGACATACGGATCCTGAAGGGCAGGAGTCCTTTAGATGCAAGAGTCTTCTCTTCCACTTACGGGACCTACCAGAATGAAGTTGGCTTAGTCAGTAATGTGAATGTAGTATAGGACCTTTCTCATAATTGCATTTGCTCTTGGAAGCAATATATATATCCTCAGCAGGAAACCTGCTCTAAAAGAGCACTGCAGAATAGCCCCCCCCCACCAGCTAATTGGTTTAATTAGTCCATTTTCACCAATATTAAGAAGAAGCTTCACTCAGGCCCTTGATCTGAGTGGGTTTCTCATGTGTTTGCACTATCCATCTTTTCGCTATTCGCACTGCAGGCTACAGACAGGCGTCTGGGAGGTTGTGTATGATAGGCAAATCACCTGGTTTTTTCCCCTTTTCACATTAATTATAGCCTTTATGCTAATGTTACTTAACTGTGCATACCTTTTAACACCCAGAATGACACTCTGTTACCCACCCTATCTCTGCTTGTCCTAACAAAGTCATCTTGTGGCTTTTATTTCAAATTCCTTCCATTGTACAGACAATGCTGGAAAAATTCCACCTACACATTTGACAAACGAAAATGATTCCTTCTAGCCTTTACATGCATAGGTTTGGTTCATCCATTTCCTGGCATAGGTTTGGTTCATCCATTTCCCCCACTGCCCCGCTGAGTATCCATATTTGGCACGATCACAATGGCAGAGAGAAGACATTTGACCCACTAAACACCAATGACAACAGTCACCAAAAAAATGATGGCGCTTCTCACTTGGTCACCACTGCAAAGCAGAGTTGGGAGCATGGGATTTGTAGTGGAGAAGCAATGTGGGGGGGGGGGTATGCAATGTACTTGTGCCTAACCCTTTCCCCTGAATTCCTCACAGCCAGTTTTCCTCCACATGGGTTCTTGCGTTTGTGCTGGAAACATAATCTAGTGCGAAAGTGGCTGAAAGGATGACTTTTGGAAGTGATGGGGTTGAAAAGAGGTGCAGGGGGAAAGGCTAACAAACACAACCCACAACTGTTCTTCTGCTGATACTGCTTTGCGTGTCAAAGCCCCCAAGCCACCCCCATGAGAATAAAGACACAAGGACACAGAATTTTAGGTTAATGTTTAATGTGCAAAATTTAGGCCATAACTTTATTGGTTGCAGAATGTGAGCGGTATTGGCTTAGGCATTGGCATCAACAGACTATATCTGACTCCTGCCCACCTTGCAGGGAGTCTGGTAAGGGTAAACCTCCAGTAGGGGAACCCCGCCGAAGCGGATCGACTCGAGCCCCCCTGGGTTCCCACTGAGGTTGTGGCATGGCCCTAGCCCCTCCCCAGGCTTTGGACAATATCCACACCACCAGATTCCTTTAAGGGAATACTCTTGAGCACAGAGGGGTATTCCAGTGCCTAACCCAACACTATTCCAATGCCTAACCACCAAACCTTACAAAGTTGTGACGATTGCCACGAGGTAGGTGAAAACCAAGTGGCCAGTGCCAATTTGCCAAGTGGAAAAAGTCCTACCAGGCCCCGCACTGGCGACAAACCGAAGTCCATAGCAAGGCCAATGACGCAACCTGAAGGCTGAGGCTGAAAAGGGCTAGTTCAAGGTCGTGCTGTGGGTTAAATTGGTCCCAGCCACACTCCCCAAGCCGCCTGATTGGCCGCTTGGCTAACTGGCGTGGCTGGGCCTCCCCAGCGTAAGGTGGGACACAGTCCCGCCCCCCACACTGAGGGGGGAGGCTTGGTGGCTCGCCCACAACGTGTCCCCACAAAGAGGTGGAGCCAATTTGCAGGAAAGCAGCATCTGTAACTATTGGTTACAGTGGTACCTCGGGTTAAGTACTTAATTTGTTCCAGAAGTCCGTACTTAACCTGAAACCTGTTCTTAACCTGAAGCACCACTTTAGCTAATGGGGCCTCCTGCTGCCGCCGTGCCGCCGGAGCCCAATTTCTGTTCTTATCCTGAAGCAAAGTTCTTAACCTGAAGCACTATTTCTAGGTTAGCGGAGTGTGTAACCTGAAGCCTATGTAACCTGAAGCGTATGTAACCCGAGGTACCACTGTATTTGCAGATTAGTTTGGCTGCAGAAGGTGTGCTGGGGAGACCACACATTCAAGAAACGCAAAAGTAACTTTTGCTTGGTTTAATAACAAAAAACAAAAACTCCTTTTACACTAAATTACATTATATCAATAAGTGTGACCCATCCACCAGGGTACTGAGAGAGCTACTTGCTGCTCTTTATATACTATACCCAACATAATTATATACTATACCCAGCTTAATTAACATAACTTAACAGCACCTGCTATACTGCTTCACAGATGTAAAACTAGGTCATGTTATTTGCTCTGGCCCCTTAAAGACATACACATCTTGTGGAACAATAATGAAACCTAAAATTTAAAGAAACCATTCAACAGTAGCACGCAGTACAGACCCACTGCCCTCCAGATTGAATTCTGCTGCTTAATTATTGACTGGCAGTCTGAGGTCTCATGTGGGAGCTCGCTTGCCTTATGAGTCCCAGTTGCAGGGCAGCTAGCACAGCGGAAAGCATTCTACCGCTAACCGAGACTGCTAAGGACTCATATCTTGCAGGCATTGACAAAGAGGCCCTTCCCGTATGCACAATGTGCCAAAATACTTGTCTCGTTGCTCTTCTGATCACGAATTTAGTGGAAACAGGAATACAGATTGACTGTGATATTTGCCTCATAATTGCTATCTATTTAAATACTTTTCAGCAACGTGATGACAGAATAAGAGCAAGGCAGTTAAGAAATTTCCAGCGTAACCTGCCAATTTGAAATGAACTGAAAAGACCTCTCTAATTAGTTAAGAAAACATCCTGTCAGGACTCTCTTCCAGCTTTACGTCCTTATCCGTAATGCAGTCTAATATGCAAGGCCCTTCCTCCTCAGACTTGCTGAAAGAGCCTCAAACCCCAACAGAGGGGAGCAGCTGGGGTGGGTGTGTAGGTTGATCTTGAGCAGACAGCCACAGAAGAAGGGGTTAAGCACCTCATTTCCTCTTGCTTTTCTTCTGCTTGGAAAACTGCAGCCTCCCAGGACTGCTTCTGCTTAAGAAAAAGTCATTGAGCTCTCATACGCATTGGGGTGGAACATCTGGGGTGTACTGGGGCTTCCAGACGAAGAATCTGGAAGCACAGAGTGGGCCCATGTTGAGTAGCCCTGGATGGTGTGCACGCCTCCCTTGAGGTCCATCTGTACAACACAAAACATCTGCAGCAAGGGGGTCTGGTTGCATGTGCAGAGTTGTTTCCCTGGAATCTGCACCCCTGACCTTTCAGGAATGCTGCTGCAGCCCTGTGTTTAAGAGCCCCACAAAGGAGCAGTGTATATAACCTGCACCTGGATGCAGCCTAAATTCAGGGTTCCACAGACAGCACACAAAGATGAACAACTCTATTTTAAATGTATTTCTGAGCCCCCTAACCTTTCATCACGTGCCCAGTGGTCCGGATGTTGCCTTCAAGGAAATTTGCGGCAACTCACGCTCCCCGCACACTTCTCAGGTAGTTCTGCAAACTCAGGTTTGCTGTGGCCTTTACTGAATTAGGCTCTGGGCTCTTGCTGTTGCCAAAACAATTAACCCTGTGTTTTGGTCTTGGGCTCTGGGTTCTTGGCTGACAACATGGCGGAGCGAAGGATTGGTCTCCAGCAGCAATGTGGTTCCTCACTAGCCATCTAGAATTTAGGGTGCCAATATGCTGCCACCTTAGTGTCTAACAAACCCATTTTTTACATTCAGCCTCCTCTCATGCAGCAGTACACATAGATGCAAACTATAAGCACCGAAGATCCAAACAAGTACTTAAAGAAAACTGATGCTTTCCTGTTATTCATCCGTATTGTTTGCTTGCTTTATAATTTCTTGGGAAGTGATCCATTAGAAGACGTACTTTTGCCTCACAGGCTATGTAGCCTTTTTGCAGATTCGCTTCACTTGGCCCAGTCTTTGGTTTATCAATGCTTAGTTCGTAAGCTAATGAGCTATGATGTCGTAAATGTGGGGGATTCAGAATGTAAATTATAGCATTGGTGACCTGGAAACCACATATTGAACAAGGAGTGATCCAAGTTGTGATGGATGCTAGACCATGTGGACTAGCAGGGTCGCTATCATGCAAGAGTAGCCTGAATCCCCAACAAAAAGACGCTCCAGTGAGGTACTTCCTGTTTGTGCTTCCTGTTTTCCTGTTAACTTTGATGTGTGGAAGCATCCTTCAACATTATGGTTAGTACAAAGATGGCAACATTTCTCCCATCTTGTTGAGATGTTAAAATCGAATCCTACTGATCGACAGAGTCATTTTATTTGTCAACAAGTAATGGTGAATATGTCTCTTTTCGCAGCACAAAATCCCTACTTTTTAGGTTGACCTTTAAAATTTGGTGGTGGGCTTTGTTTTTAATGAGACAGAATAACTCCTTGCTGTTTGTGATTTGTAAGAGTGGAGAAACTCTTCTTTTCCACGCACCAGGAATGGGGAATCTCTGGCTATCTGAATGTTGTTGAATTCCAACTCCCATCAGCCCCGGCCAGCATGGCCCACAGTCAGTGAGGATGGGAACTGAACTCCCAGCACATCTGGAGGCTCACAAGTTCTGCGCCCCTTCCCCACAGATGCAAAACACATCATTCTCTCCCTCACTTACTCATTAACTCTGTTGAGTTCAGTTTAAGAACATAACTGTTCTGCATTTAATAAATAAATCACTTTACATTGTGGGAGCCATATGAACTAATAGGTTTAAAAAAATGGTTCATGAAATATTTTGCAAAGTGAAATGTTGAGTGCCAATGTCAATTTTTGCTTGCCTCCTTAGTCTTTGAAGCTAGATTTTTAGCCGCATGAGTAAAATGACATAATAATCTATTTAATGCTATGTCTCTGTATAATGTAATCATTTAGTGTTTATTTTATTGTGTGTACCTTCTACTCAGAGGGTTGGCATTATTGTTCCTAACAGTGATGGATACAAGCAGATCATGCCCTATGACCTCTACCATCCTCTTCCTCGGTATGTAAACCAGCTTCTCTATTTAACAAACATGCAGATATGTGCTTGTGGTTGATTGATACTCTTAACAGAGTGTGGTAGTGATCTGCAAACACGCTCTGGGCCTGCGGTCTTGTGTTTTGTTTTCATTGCTTCCTGCTTTTCTGTACACGTGAGATACTGAAATCTGGATTTCTCGTGTCCTGGAGCTCTTGCAAAGAATGATAATCGCCTATCACACAAACCAAAGAATCTTGTCACTGAAATATCCAATTGAGACTGAGATTAAAATGTTGAACTGTTGCCCTCCCTTTCTTTTCCCCATGTGGGCACATGTTTGGCACTTTGAGAGGCAGAGTTTTAACTGGATCTTTCTCAAAATGGCAATTACAGTCTGTTGATTGAAGGCAGTTCATTTAAGGTAAAGGTTTATAGCAACAGAGAGTGTTTGTGTTCTCCAGAATTATTAATTTCACGTAATATGTTAAAAGTCAAAATACTGCCATTCAACTAGTTATATAATCAGCTATAAACAAGACCAATTAATTGAAAACAAATTCTGACATCTCTAGTTTTAACATAGCAATCCAGGTTATTACAGTTTAATTGCTAATGGGGCCAATAAAAGCCATTGTCTCAATCCATATTTCTTGACAGATTTTGGCATTTTTGCATGACTATATTACATTATTTCTCGCATATTCATCTTTTAAGCAACATAAATGAGTCTTAATTGGCTAGAAGCTTGATATTTTAGAATTTTGCGACTAAGGCCTTACTCTTTAACAATTGCCAAATTGAAGCAGAATCTATTTAATTCTCTTTGGCTTATTGATGTGACTTATGCAAGTATTTTCTTCCGTGTGTTTATTCTGAGGCAACCTTGAGCCCAATTATTGAAGCATTCAGCCGATTACAAGCTTGATTGGGGAGAAACATCTGTGTGCGTTTGTGTTTGTGTGTCTGTAAGGCATATATTATGTTATTAAGGTTAAAGTGACTGTGAAGGATGAATGGCTTGGTGAATTGCGCAGCACCTAATTGCATTTCTCATTGGAATGCAAATGAATGGTGAATATAAAAAGTATGCCGCTGTAGTTTTGTTCAGAAACTAGAATAGCTGGGCTTTGGTGGGCTAAGTTGGCTGAGGGCCCCCACTTGAGACCGGCTGCCTTTTTGTTTGAGTTTACAGCTTTATTCGAACAATATACCTGGCCTCAGACAAGGTCTGCATAGTCCTGATCTCAGAGGCGCCAACTTCTCAAGAAGATTGAGGAGGCCCAATGTGATGTTCTCACATCATGCGTGTGACATCACAAGGAGCCAGAGGGTGGAGCCAAGTGTCCCATGAACATTGAGGGGACCTGGTCCCCTAAAACAAAAAACCAACAACAGAGCCTCGGCCCTGTGGGAATGTTCAGGGTGGCAGGAGAGGATATATTATTTATTGATATCCTTCCTAACTTGTGCTAGCAAGTTCCTTTACTTAGCAGAGTGCATTCCCCTTTACACAGCAGAAAACTAGTTACAAACTTGTGTGAGTTTCTTAAGACAATACACGATTCAATCTGGCTTGTCCAGATTGAAATGTGTTCTAATATTTTCCTGGTAAGACCCCTTGAATCCCTCCTAAAAGAACAAAGACACCACAGTCTTACTCATAAGCAATAAAAAGAAAGTTTACTCACGATCAGGCAGAGCACAGTGTGATCCCTGAAGGCAGGCTTTAGGCTTAAATTTACAAATGTATAAAAACGGTTTACCCCATAAGGGAGATTCACCTAGTGACTGCAGGCTAGCAGTCCAGCAGTTCACAGGACGAAAGGAAGATGGAAAAGAAGGAGAGTGGCAGCATGCCTTGGCCTTTTTGTCAGCATCGCCCTTGAGCCAGTGCACCAACTGGACTCATGCACCTCAACCCCGACTGGGCTAGGCGAGCTGGGTAGCACCGCCAGAGACCTCCTTTCTCACAGGAACAGGTCACAGTGCTGTGGACTCACAGCTTAGAGCTGAGAGCACCAGATTCACTGTCTCAATAATACAGTCGTTGCGCAGCAGAGTTTTGCAGAGTCTTGCAGAGTATAAACCACTCGGAGAGCAGCTCTGTAGAATATCTTCCTTTTATTCTGTAACTACAACTATGATACAAAACTATATACAGAGCTGAATATTCTAAGCATAAATCAATGCTACACTGAGAGTCTGCAGCTGCTCTTAGCAGCAACCTTATCTCTACGATCTCTAACACTCTCTCTCTCTCCGATACACTGACTGACTGACTCTCTCACTCACACACACACAGATGTGGTGCTGGGCAGAATAAGTAGATAGCAGGACACACCTCCTCCTCTCTGGAGAGTCAGCAGAGACCATGAGGAGATCATCAGGAGATTCTTGGGTATGGGAGGGGTGAAATCTCCTCACTTTTACCAGGTCGGGAAAGGTCATGCCCACCTACTAGTCACATGCAAGAAGAAGGATGCTCCAGGCCAGGAGGTACAGGAAGTTTCGACTGGCTGGACCAAACATTCCCTTGCATGTCCACTCTAGCAAAACAAGGAATGCTGTACTTGACTGCTCCCAGTGGATTGCATCCCACAGGCCCCTAGGAGCTGGCAACTATGCCTGATCTAGATGCTAAGTTCAAAGTATAGCCCAACCACACTTTAGCCTATGCAGACCTGCCTTGCAAACTTTTATCCACAATCACTAGCATGATGCCCAGGACTACACTTAACGGAAGAGGAAATTAATTGTGCTGTGAGAGATGGTGTCTCTCCCTCCATCAGTTTGCTTCTATTGCTTCTCAGTCAACAAAGACCTTCACCCACAAAGAACTTTGGGAACTGGAACTGATGTAGGGAAGGGGAGGAATTAATTTCAGTTTCCACTTAAAGGCAATCTTACCTAAAACCAACTTTCCAAAATAATAAGCAAGCCCAAAGAGAGCCATCCTTTCATGGTAAGAATTCACCTGTACAACACCTTGTTCGTTACCCAGGTGAGGAACAACCACATTTTGAACAGACAACAGAACCAATGAGTGAATTCTGTCCTATTACAATAGCCATAATAAATGCTGGGTCCCTAAATCTGGATGCTGGACTTGGAAATAGTTTCCTTGGTTCTGTGGTTTATTCAAAAGGTGGTTATTCCTCTTCTGGGTAACAAAAAAGGTGGTGTAGAGATGAATTCTTACCACACTTTGAAATTTGCACTTCTGCAAATTTTGCAATGCAGTGCTCCAGCCAAGCAATGTATACAAAAACCTATATACTAAACTAAGCATTAAAATGCATATATGTATGTTAAAAATCACATACAGCAATGCATTACATTAGGGAAGATTGCATTGCAAAAATTGTATATTGGGCAAAATAGCGTATGGAAAGTTGTTTATTAAAATAAATTTGTGCTAAAATGCTGATGGCCTTTTGTGAGGACTTTAAACAAGAAATCACAAACTGTTGTGGAAATATAGAGAACCGGATTTAAGTTTGGAAAAATTAGGAGCTTGAGAGAAACTGAAATTGAAAGATCCATGTATCCCTAACCAGAAGCAGGTCCTATTGAATTCAGTGAGGCTTACTTGCAGGTAAGTGGTGTTAGGATTGTAGCCTAAGTCCTTTGTTGGTTTCACATTAACAATAGCCCTGTTCAGATAGTCGTCACGTTCGTCCACTCGGTGTGTGGACAGGGAGGTGGGACTGTGCTACAGGCCATTGCCACCAATGTTGCACATTCAATGAAATGTCTGAAGAGGGAAGCCTCTGCATTTACAACTTTGTGTACATAGGCTCTCCATCAGATAGGAAACCCTGTGTCATCAAAATTCACACTAACATGGGGACTCTGCTGCAAATGTCCTGCTCACTGCATAGATGTCAGTGCTAGTGGTTTGGGCTGTAAGCATGCCCCATGCATTGAGTGTACATGTGACCTGGGAAATTGCTTGAATAGCATGACTGGGTCTACCTAATGTAGGAATTAGCAACTATATAGGCTGCTGGGCCAAATCCAGACCCAGCATTGAGGGAATGCTGTCTGTTCCTTCTTCCCACCTGCTTGCCAACACAAAAAGGATAGCTGGATGTGGTGGGAGTCGTAGCTGCATCCGTAATAACTGTACTTGCCCACTGGCTGCATGGAAGGGGTTAAAGACTGAAGGCTTAGCACACTAGCACCCAGGGCAGCCCTCTAATTGCTGACCATTGATTCAAAGACTTACCTTATTTTTCACCCTATAGGACTCACTTTTCCCCCTCCAAAAATGAAGGGGAAATGTGTGTGCGTCCTATGGGGCGAATGCAGGCTTTCGCTGAAGCCTGGAGAGCAAGAGGGGTCGGTGCGCACCGACCCCTCTCGCTCTCCAGGCTTCAGGAAGCTATCCGCAAGCCTTGGGCTGCGGATAGCAGCCTGGACCCATGCTGGGGGCTGGGGTCAGGGGAAGCTCAGGCTTCCCTAGCCCTGCAAGCTCCGGTAGCGATGGCGAGGTTGCCTAACCTCGCCTTGGCTCCTGGACCCCCAGCCCCGAGGCTAAAAACGAAGCCAGGACAGCTAGCAGGATCCATCCCACTCACTGTCATGGCTTCTTTGCTCTTTGGGGCTCGGGAGGGAAATAATTTTTTTTTCTTTATTCCCCCCCCCCCAAAAAAATAAGTGCGACCTATGGGCCGGTGCTCCCTATAGGGTGAAAAATACGGTAACTGGAAACCCCTCTGCCAGGAAAGAAACTGACAAATGTACTTTGCCTTGAGACCGTTCCCTTTCAGCTCCATCGCTGAGCACTCTGAGCATGGCACATACAATGTGGTGTAGCTGCGTTTGGTGTCTCAGGCAGACTCTAGTAGGTGCCTGTGACATGCACACCACTGCCACATTCCAGACTGCAGGAACTGCATTCTCCCAGCAGTAATAGCTCACCATTCGAATATTGCGGAAATGCGCTGCCCCTGAGAAATGGCGATTCAGGGAAGATGCCTAGGCGCTGATCAGTACGCCACGTTGCAATGTGTTCTTGGTTGTTTGCAACAGTTTCTCCCATTTTCAAATGTGCCCGCAGACCCATAAAGGTGGGTGACCCCCTGCCAAGGCATACTGAACCCACAGATTTCTTCCGTTCATGTCATGCTGCGAATTCTTTCACCAGCTAAATAATTTTGTCCTTCTTAGGCAGTCATGGGTGAAATACTGACTGATGTAATTGTTCCAGCAACCGACATGGTTGTGCTTTGCTGCTGCTGCTGTTGCTGCTGCTAGAGAAATGCCAATATATCCTAAGATGCATGCAGCGAGAAAACTCGGATGCTCAGCCTTTTCCCTGACTGGAATCTTGTTTTGCAGGTGGGAAAGCACCCCGTGGACCGCCTGCTCTTCTTCTTGCGGCGGAGGCATTCAGAGCCGCACAATCTCGTGTGTGGAAGAGGACATCCAGGGGCTCGTCAGCTCTGTGGAAGAATGGAAGTGCATGTACACTCCCAAGATGCCCATTGTCCAGCCTTGCAACATCTTCGATTGCCCCAAGTGGTTGGCTCAGGAGTGGTCTCCGGTAACCGTTTTCTTAAAATACGTATATATTACAGTCATACCTTGTGTTGCGTTTGCTTCAGGTTGAGCGTTTTCAGGTTGCGTCCTGCGGTGACCCGGAAGTACCGGAAAGGGTTACTTCCGGGTTTCGCCGCATGCGCAGACGCTCAAAATGACGTCATGCACATGAGCAGAAGCGGCAAATCGCGACCTGTGCACGCGCAGACGCGGGTTGCGTTCCGCTCAGCTTGCGAACGGGGCTCCAGAATGGATCCCGTTCGCAACCAGAGGTACCACTGTATATTGCAGCATTGCTTATTAGCCCTCTCAGTTCTATAAAGCCCTGTGGTGCATTTCACGAATGTGCCCAACAAGGAATGAACAAGGGTAGATTGCTATTATGATAGGCTATTATTATGAAAAGTGGGATACAGCTTCTCTTTAGACTACCGTGGCTGATGGCAGCGAGAGCTTAAATGCTCAGCAGAAGTTAACCATGCAGAAACCCCCCTGGAGGAACATACAGTTGTACCTCGGTTTAAGAAGAGTCTGGTTTCAGAACGATTTGGTTTACAAACTCCACAAAACTGGAAATAGTGTCTTGGTTTGAGAACTTTACCTTGGTCTAAGAGCAGAATCTGAACAGTGGAAGGGCACCAGCGACGGGAGGCCTCATTAGGGAAAGGGTGCCTCGGTTTAAGAACGGTTTTGGTTTAAGAACGGACTTCCAGAACGGATTAAGTTCATAAACTGAGGTACCACTGTACTTGACACACACACACACACACACACACACACACACACCCCGGAGAAGCACATTGAGATTCTGAGTTTGTAAAATAAATAAATAAAAATCTGTGTTTATAACTTGATTGGAGAGATCCCCAGTTCTAGCTAATTTGCTTGCATCTCAGATGGAGAGAGATCCAAGCGTCCCTCTGGTCACAAGGGAGGCATGGAGAAGAAGGGAGAGGAAGTGAGGTTAGGTCAGCCTAAGAGTATCAGTATAACACTGAAGGAATGTCAAGAGATCAGCACAGGAACGGCAGTCTAGGAATCTTGGAGGTTGCTCTTTTATTTTCCATTTCCATGCAAGTATATCAGCCCACAGGGGAAGCAGGACAGCACCTGGCCCCTCCAACAGTCTCCATATCATTATCCGAGGACACCTTTCTGTAGAGAGGCTCTGATCTCTCCTGGACTTCTTAAAAAAAAAACCATAGCTCAGAACCTGTGTGTTAGCTCTGTGAGTTTTTAAATAGCAAATTGTGAAGCGTTTGTAAATAGCTGAAGGCAGCTCAGTATAAAGAATAGAATGACTGCACATGCGAAACACAGTGTAGATCAGTGATAGGTCATGTCCAGCCAGCATGGCGAGTGGTTTGAGATGATGGGAGTTGTAGTCCAATGACATCTGGAGGGCAGCATGTTGGCACTTGTGTAGGGTTTGGAGGCACAGGGCAATTTCAGTCATCATGTTGCCTCAGTGTGCCTTGTCCATACAATAAATCAGTGGGAAAGTTACCTTTTCCCTGTGCCTCAACAGCACAAGATTTCAAAATTTGGTTCTTTAGCCCAGTTATACCTCGATTGTGAAATGAGTAGTGATTACTATACAAGATCGGTTTATTGTGTAGGACGCTGACAAAGCCTTTGCTTTTATATAATGCTGAGGATAACGAGAACATAAAACTATCCCAAGGAGGGATAGTTTTAAAATCGGGGTGCAAGTTTAGGATAATACACATAGTGAAATGTATTCAGGCTGCAAATATAAGATCCTAGTGTGTTTCCTACAAGCAACCCAACAAAATCACCATGGGAGAACATTCATAAAGAATATCCTTCACTACATGTGGGTTTAAAATATAATTTAGAAAGTAGTTGAAGGAGCAGAGCCTACTGTATGTAGTTCACCATTCACCATTCCAAAAAAGCTTGACATCGCACTGGTTACCACATAACATTAAGTGCTTTGCCTTTGTACTAAGCCAAAGTGACTACAAATGAAAGTGATGATGTGTTAGTAAGCACAACAACTTGTGGCTGCAAGCCAAAAAGCCGGTACTGAGATAGCGAGCGAGCGAGCGAGCAAGAAAGAAAGAAAGAAAGAAAGAAAGAAAGAAAGAAAGAAAGGAGATGACCTATCTACCAAATAATTATGAACAATCCAAACCATCATATTCTCTTCTTCCTTCCTCTTAACTCAGAATGCCAGTCACACACCAAGCACACGTTGGGAACTATAAACCAGTGCTTGTGGCCAGTGACGTAGCATGGGTTGCCAGTGTCCAAGACCATGAGGTGCAGGGTGGGAGGGAGAGAAATGGACAGAGTATGCATGCACATTCAACTGCCTAATGGTGTCCACATCACCCAGCAGATCATAGCCGTAGAGATAAGAAAAGAAGTCATTCCATTGTCTGGAGAGGTCACTTGCTGGTTTGCATGGAGAAGCTGTTTTCAATGGAACCCAGCAACGGAAGCACGCAGCTGTATTGAGGCAGCACTGGGTGCTGAATTTTTGCACCCCTAACAATTTTGCGCCCAGGGCAATCACCTCTGTGGGCCCCCCCTGCAACACCACCATTAACGGCTAATTGGGATTAAGCAGCATGCTAGCGTATTCTGCCCTGTTGCTCTTGCCCAGGTATGAGCAGAAGAAATAAGCTGTATGTACATGGTTTGTTGTTATGCATAAACCAGAGTTGTGGTTTGCTTCTTCCTAACAAACCATGATCAGAAAGCCAGGATGGGTGGATGGTGTTGTTCTGGTTCGGATTGCTAATTGTCCATATGGGCAAGCAGGCTTAGAAAAGGAAGGCAGAGTCTGGCTATTCAGGAATATACTTTTTTTCATTGTTTTTCCTTTCAGTGCACAGTGACATGTGGCCAAGGCCTAAGATACCGGGTGGTTCTGTGCATTGACCACAGAGGGATGCATACCGGTGGCTGCACTGCTAAAACAAAGCCTCACATCAAAGAAGAATGCATCGTCCCCACTCCTTGCTACAAGCCGAAAGGTAAAACACAGGGCAGAAGAATTCTTGCCTGCTTTTCTCTCTCTCTCCCTCTAAATACATGTGCTCCCTGCCACCCCAATAGCAGGAAATTTCCACCAATAAGTCAGATGTCTGAGAGGTGATGCCTTAGGTTTAATTTCAGCCAATATAGTGGTGGTAGAGCTGCAGGGGGGGGGTTTCACATCTGGCAACCAATGCACCCCTTGGGTTTCAGATAGTACATGGGTAAAAGGTAAGGTAAAGGACCCCTGGACAGTTACATCCAGTGAAAGGCAACTAGGGGGTTGCGGTGCTCATCTCGCTTTCAGGCCAAGGGAGCCGGCGTTTTTCCACAGACAGCTTTTCGGGTGACTAAACCGCTTCTGGCGCAATGGAACACCGTGTTGGAAACCAGAGTGCACGGAAATGCCGTTTACCTTCCCGCTGCAGTGGTACCTATTTATCTACTCGCACTGGTAGCTTTTGAACTGCTAGGTTGGCAGGAGCTGGGACAGAGCAACAGGCGCTCACCCTGTTGTGGGGGTTTGAACCGCCGACCTTCTGATTGACAAGCCCAAGAGGCTCAGTGGTTTAGACCACAGCCCCACCCATGTCCCAGTACATGGGTAAAGGTAAAGGGACCCCTGACCATTAGGTCCAGTCGTGACCGACTCTGGGGTTGCGGCGCTCATCTCGCTTTATTGGCTGAGGGAGCCGGCGTATAGCTTCCGAGTCATGTGTCCAGCATGACTAAGCCGCTTCTGGAGAACCAGAGCAGTGCACGGAAATGCCGTTTACCTTCCCGCTGGAGCGGTACCTATTTATCTACTTGCACTTTGCCGTGCTATTGAACTACTAGGTTGCCAGGAGCAGGGGCTGAGCAATGGGAGCTCACCCCGTCACGGGGATTCGAACTGCCAACCTTCTGATCGGCAAGTCCTAGGCTCTGTGGTTTAACCCACAGCGCCACCCGTGTCCCTCAGTACATGGGTAGAGGGGTCTAAAAAGCCCAGGACACAAATTTTCACAGCCCTCTAGCAGCTATAGTGGCTTATTTACCAGAAGTAGTATTTAGCATTAACTCTGAAAGTGTGTATATTCTGTCCTGACTGCGCTTAGCTTCCTAGAGCAACATCAGGGTCTGAGATGATACCGTATCATGTCATCTCCAAACAAACGCCATGATAATTGTATTGTGTCAGACCAAAGTTAAGATCAGCTCAACAGCTTGCAAAGTCAGCAAGTTTGCTTTCTTTTATTTATTGTAGCATTGTTATTGTGTTTTTACACCCTGCTTCTGGGATTGGCTGCCTCAGATGCTAAAGTCGAATCATAGAGTTGGAAAGGACAGCGGAATGCCTTGGGCTGGCCTTGAGGATTTGTAAACAGAATGTGACTTAATATGTCTCTTTCCCTCTAACCCACCAAGGCATATACGCATCATATTTTACAGGCATCACGCAGGCATCTGTACAGGAAAGCACCATCTATGGTGGTGGTGGGGGGGGGGGGGCGTTTTTGTTTTACAAGGCTGTACAGTTTTTTAAAAGGGCGAAAGAAAAGCAGTAAGGCCTGACTTTCCATTACCATAAAAATAAGTATACGGTGTATAAACAGAAATATCTCTTTACATATTAGAGTTAATGAACATGGTAAAATACAGATTAAGCTAAGAGCTGCATTTCCACATATATAACATCAAGTGGTACCACTAAATATATCTGAGTAGAAATCTGGCAAGTAATGGTCGGGGAGGAATCAGGGCATAATAACTTCATTATCCTCTTCCTCTTGTCCTCATGCCCATAAATCTACTCCAGGAAAATTCATCACAGGAGATGTGAAATAGGATTACAGGTTATTGTCACTGTGTGTTGCCAGAATTGCAACGGATAGTTCAGTCAATGTGAAAGACTGTATGAAAAATGTTGAATGCACAATCTATTGGGGAGGTTGTTGGTGGGGGGGGGGTGTTGTTGGGTTTTTTGCATCTTTATTTTAAAGCTTGTGTGAAAATCGTTCAGCCTGGTTGTGCATTTTAAAACATTTTATCTACAGTTTATTACTACTTTGTCATGTTGTAGTTATGCATATTTTCATGTTGTAAGTCGCCTTGAGCATGATTTGAACTGTGGGAAGGAAGCATGGAATAAAAGTATGTATGTATGTATTAATTTCCTGTTCTGCTCTGTGGCAGTCTTCTGTGCCTGGAAGAAAACTTGGGGCCCTAAGCAGCAGGGAATGCAATTATTGAATCCTTAGGCTGGGTATACGTCCCTATAGTAGATCCATCATCAAAAGATTTCATCTAAATTTTGTGTCTTGCAGCATCTAAAGCTTCACCCGCCCAGTCCATACACAAGCAGAAAGGGGAGGGTTAATAGAGTTCACTCCAGATTGCATTCCCTGCATATGTTAAATTCCACTTTTGAAGTTCTCTCAACCTTCAAGAGAAGGTTTTTTTGGGGAAGTGCAATGAGCTATTGGTGGGAGGTTCAGAAAAGCCGTGTTCCATATGTACCCAGGGCTCTTAATTCTAGGATTAAACACAAAACAGATTGGGCTTACTCAGAAACAACTGCATGTGTCGAATTGCCAGAATTGGAGACTCTAATCAGAGCAATGTTGCTCATAAGTAGCAACTATCTACAGCTGCTGTTTTTCTAGCTAGTTTGAATATGAGAACTGTAAACTGTTGTTCAAGTGGTTTTGAAAGGAAAAAAGGGCCCATGTAGGGTTGTTTCTGGGTCATGAATTTCAGGGAGTAAATAGTCATGTAGGCGGATCACATATTTCCAGCAGCCTGCTGTAGTCAGAGAGCTTGGGAGCAGCGCTGTAGCATCCAGTGATCTCCGCAAAGATCCGTAAGTCCCTGAGGATGGCTTTCTGTTCCTTCAGGGTGAAGTCACCCATTTGTCATGGGCTCAGGACCTCAGGTCTAGCCTTGAAGGGCCATTGCAAGTCTGGTTTGCTCCAGTTTACTCTAGCCAAATCCAGATTTATGTTCCCAAGGGAGTGTATTTTGGCTCCTAAAGTGAGTATTTTATTAGATACTTCTAATGTATATTTTTGGTACTGATTTTGGCGGGGAAGGGAGAGGTCGGGATATAGAGCAGCGCTGTTTTGTATCAAAAATGACAGGGAAAGTATTCGGCTCATTCTTCGAATTCACATATTGATGAACTGATAAGCTCAAACTGGAAAGGGCATCACTGAACTATTTTTGCATTTGCCTGTTTCTTCAACTATCACTCATCACATCTGGATTTTCTTGAATGTCATAATAAACCATCAGAGTGGAGTTTAGTATATATTTTGTTTTTCAGGTTATTAAAGTGAGGGTGCAATGGCTATAACTACACACACATCTTTGACTAAGCAATGCAGGAATCTTCAGATCTGTTAACGTGAACTTGGGGCTAAAAGGCACATTAAAAGGAACAGGGGGAAATGTGTGCACCTGTGTATTTTCACTTCCTGCCACTGCTTATAAGTGAAAACAAAACCTCATGTCTCCCACAAGGGGAGATCCATGACTTCTGCGTCATGAAGCCCACACATCCCTCTGGCAGAAATGTGCAGGGCACACACACACAGAGAGAGCTATTGCAGACGTAATACTAAACCAATGTTTAGTGTAATGAAACTGAGCTTCAGACTCCAGCTCATTGGTCTCCTCCAATACGTCTGCAAGGAGGAGTTTGGAAACTTCAGCTTGTGTTTTAGATCAGCTGCATCTTAACCATAGTTCAGATTAACCAGAGTTTAGGATTTGGATGACACACTAAACCAGGGTGGCTACCCTGTGACTCTCCAGATGTTGTTCACCTCCTGTCACATCCCTATTGACCATGCTGTCTGGGAATGATAGGAGCTGCAGTTTTGCACTGTTTGCAAATGAGGCCGCAGAGACTTACCGCACCCTGTCCCCAGAGACAGAATGTGCTCTCCACAAACACTGTGGTCATAGTGACTAGTATGAAATAAATGCAGCACACACAAAATCGGTGGATTGATTTACAAAAAAAATGTGCATGATATTACAGCGGCATAATTCCTATTTACCTGTAATTATTCCCGCAGAAAAACTTCCTGTTGAAGCTAAATTGCCATGGTACAAGCAAGCCCAGGAATTGGAAGAAGGAGCAATAGTATCAGAAGAACCAACGTGAGTATGGTTTTCTGAAACTGGGATGAGGTCAGGAGTTGATCAGTGCTTTGAAACTGTATTTTACTTTAAGACTATGTGTGGTGCATTTTGTTACATTCCGGAATGGAGTTAAACCCCATTGAAGTTAGGATATTTTCCATACCCCATAATCCTGCCCTTAACTTGAAAGTCTTCCTGGCTGATTTGTGTCTTCTTGCAAGGAGTTAAACCACAATTAACATGATGTAGCTCTAACAACCGAGTAAGTTGATTCACAGAGGGCTTATTTTTATGACCCTCTAAGCTTGTAGCAGCTGAGGTTTTTAATCAAGTTGTGCTGATTTTCACTCGTAGCTGAAGTGGTTTTGTGCATGCTGATTGAGTTTATTTATTTTGGTTCGTGTAAACTGGTGAATAAGAGCTGACTCAAACTCTCCGTTGCGGAAGCAGTGCAAAACCTCTCGCATAACTGTACAGTTCAGGCTTCGCATGAGTTTCAAAGCACACACAAACATCAAAACTTGCCGCTTCCAGCCTATGCTAGCTCAGACCCAGCCTAGATATCACATTCATCACAGAAATGCCATGTTTACAGCAGTTCATCTTGTGAACTCTGGCCATCGGATCTGAGATTTCCACACACCCTGCACTCCCAAGGTTCATGGGGTGCTTTTACCAAGTAAATTTTCATTTCAGAAAATGTTTCTCACTTAAACATTTAGAGCAGCCTTTCTCAACCTGTAGGTCCCCAGATGTTGTTGGACTACAACTCCCATCACCCCTAGCTAGCAAGGCCAGAGCTCAGGGATGATGGGAGTTGTAGTCAAACAACATCTGGCGACCCACATGTTGAGAACCACTGATTTAGAGGTTCCCACCTTGAAATATGACATTTTACTTAACATATTTTTTCGTGTTTAACACGCCCCCTATTTTGGGGGACTACATTTTAAGAAAATGGGGGGAAATGGCCCTGAGTTGTTGAGCTTTTTTGGGGGGGGGAATGCTGAAAATCACTCACCTGACTCACAAACACCAGCAATTGCCCGCCCAATTGTCACAGAAGAAGCCAATCCAAAACAGCCCTTGCCGCAGCCACCAATCACCCACCCAGTCACCAGTGATAAGCTGCTGCTCACGGCCAAAACAAATCACCCGTCTCCCCTCTGCGCTATCCGTGTATAAGACGAACCCCGATTTTTAACATTCTTTTTGTGTAAAAAAAACGCCCCTCATCTTATACATGGAAAAGTACTAAAGCATTAAAGACTAAAGAATGTTATTGATTCACCAAGCTAAAATATTACAACTTACCCAGGGTGGGGTGGGGATTAAAGAACAAGCCCTGTAAGACTTTTTCATAAGGTTCCCTTTCGTTCTTACTGTATTGAAATGGGAAGTGGTTTTTCACGGGATGCTGATAAATGCCAAAATACAGTGGTGCCTCGCAAGACGAAATTAATTCGTTCCGTGAGTTTTGTCATCTTGTGATTTTTTTCGTCTTGCGAAGCACGGTGTCGGGAAAGTTTTGGAAAAGCTTCAAAAATGACCAAAGTCTTTAAAAACCTCAAAAAAGGCTACCACACCGCGTGCTATGAGTTGCCCCTCGAAGTCAAGTCGCAACTGCATTAACGGTGTTAAGAAAAAGGAAACAAACTTGCAAGACGTTTCCATCTTGCGAAGCAAGCCCATGGGGAAAATCGTCTTGCGAAGCAGCTCAAAAAACAAAAAACCCTTTCGTCTAGCGAGTTTTTTGTCTTGCGAGGCATTCGTCTTGCGAGGTACCACTGTAGATGTGAAGTATGGTATATTCTTTCATGTGAAAGGCTGGGCTGGGTGAATCGCAAGCCGGAATTAATATTGCCGGAAGAAATGTCAACAACCTCAGATATGCAGATGACACAACCTTGATGGCAGAAAGTGAGGAGGAATTAAAGAACCTTTTAATGAGGGTGAAAGAGGAGAGCGCAAAATATGGTCTGAAGCTCAACATCAAAAAAACGAAGATCATGGCCACTGGTCCCATCACCTCCTAGCAAATAGAAGGGGAAGAAATGGAGGCAGTGAGAGATTTTACTTTCTTGGGCTCCATGATCACTGCAGATGGTGACAGCAGCCACGAAATTAAAAGACACCTGCTTCTTGGGAGAAAAGCAATGACAAACCTAGACAGCATCTTAAAAAGCAGAGACATCACCTTGCCGACAAAGGTCCGTATAGTAGTTCAAGCTATGGTTTTCCCAGTAGTGATGTATGGAAGTAAGAGCTGGACCATAAAGAAAGCTGATCGCCGAAGAATTGATGCTTTTGAATTATGGTGCTGGAAATCAGTCCTGAGAGCTCACTGGAAGGACAGATCCTGAAGCTGAGGCTCCAAGACTTTGGGCACCTCATGAGAAGAGAAGACTCCCAGGAGAAGGGGACGACAGAGGACGAGATGGTTGGACAGTGTTCTCGAAGCTACCAGCATGTTGATCTAACATCAATCAAAACCAAAAATTGTCTCCAGGAAGGCTAGATATGTTTCAGCTAAAGGTGTTTTGGAATGTGAAAGGTTCAGAGTCTAAAGGACAGCTGAAGCAGCTTGCACAAATCCTGCTGCTTTTCTGACACCATGAGGAAGACGTTAATTTTCCCCTCAATCCCAGGGCCGGCTCAAGACATTTGGCCACCTGAGGCAAAGGAGAAGATGGCACTCCATCCTAATTCAATGTTCAGAACCCAACTGGGCTGATGTTTGAATTTTACTTCAATGTTGATTCCAAAACACCTTTAGCTGAAACATATCTAGCCTTCCTGGAGACAATTTTTGGTTTTGATTGATGTTAGAGCCATATTTTCATCTCATAAAATTTGTCTTTGAGATAGTAAAGCTGCCATGCTGGCATGGCTGACCTGAAATCGCGCAAATTTTAATTGAAGCCATGGGGAAACAGTGAGGAAATGTACAATATTATACTCAAGATCATAGTTATGTTTATATTTATATGTATCGTATGTAAATATATATTTGTCAGCTGTTACATGTTATGATGAAGTTATACTTCAGAGCTATTATATATTTCATATGTGCCTTTTGTTCATTTATAGCCAAGTGCCAGATACACGTTTGAATCTGTTTTTATTTATTTTAATTTGGAAGCCCAGTTTTTGGATTTCTGCAGTTTTCTGTCTACTAGTAAACCACTTTTCTAAATACATATTTAACAAACTATAATTACCCTTCAGTTGTATAATGGGAACTGGGCAGTGTCGGGGGGGGGGTGTCAAACAGGGATCACGTTGCTTACACTGGAAAGGGATGATTTGAATCATAGCCCGTATTTCTGCTGCAGAGCACTAAAAAAATAAGCTAGGAGAAGCCACAACTCCAGAAGAAGTCATGATCATGGACTTACTGACAAAAGTCTGGATCTGAATTTTGAGAATTAATGTTGGCGTTGCTTTGTGAGGGGGGGGGGGACCTCCCCAAATGCTTGGTGTTGAATAGTTATTGCATTCTTTTAAAAACGACAGCACAACAGATTTCTGAATAGTGGTACAAATGGATTTTTGTAAGGATTCTGGGATAAGGTACAACAGAAAATATGGAATATAATTATAAAGTATTTTGGACAAATGGTAAAGACCATGATTGAAGGAATTATATACAGCCTTGGACGGGGGTGGGAGGTGGGGAATGAAAGGAATCCCAAGAACTTAAGCAGAGATTTTATTTGTACTTATCAGCACCTTTTTATTCAGCAGATCTGTTTGCTTTACAGAGTTGTTTCCCCAGCTGTAAAATGGAGAAACAGCTCTGTAAAATAACATCACAATGTTTGGGTGGATTAAGGTTTCTTTGATAGAAAATGAGATATTTGTTATCTTTCATTCTTTCTTTGGTCTGTTGCGAAATACCTTCTTCACAATTACTACCCCATTGTAGGGGGTGAACTGAGGAGAGCATTTCGTCAATTTTGAGGGTGGGGCCAAAAATATTCAAAGTGGTTCTAGTTGTGTATTTATCCTAGGTAGGTTATATAGTGTGGCATGGAGCAGCAGTGGTTTTCTATTCCCTTCCGCTGTCCTTGTGTGGTTGTAGGGAGCATTGGTGTACAGTGGGGGGACCACAGGGGCAGTTGCCCCAGGTGCAAATTTATTAGGGGCACAAAACTTCAACACCCGGTGCTGCCTCAATACAGCTGTGCACTTTGCTGGGCTCTATTAGTATTAGTATTAGTATTAGTATTAGTATTATTAGTATTAGTATTAGTATTAGTATTAATTTATATGCCACTCTGGGCAGCTCCCATCAAAGTAATAAAAGCACAATAAAATAGAAGGGGAAGAAATGGAGGCAGTGGGAGATTTTACTTTCTTGGGCTCCATGATCACTGCAGATCGTGACAGCAGCCACAAAATTAAAAGACGCCTGCTTCTTGGGAGAAAAGCAATGACAAACCTAGACAGCATCTTAAAAAGCAGAGACGTCACCTTGCCAACAAAGGTCCGTATAGTAGTTAAAGCTATGGTTTTCCCAGTAGTGATGTATGGAAATGAGAGCTGGACCATAAAGAAGGCTGATCGCCGAAGAACTGATGCTTTTGAATGATGGTGCTGGAGGAGACTCTTGAGAGTCCCATGGACTGCAAGAAGATCAAACCTATCCATTATGAAGGAAATCAGCCCTGAGTGCTCACTGGAAGGACAGATCTTGAAGCTGAGACTGCAATACTTTGGCCACCTCATGAGACGAGAAGACTCCCTGGAAAAGACCCTGATGTTGGGAAAGAGAAGGAGATGGCAGAGGACGAGATGGTGGGACAGTGTTCTTGAAGCTACCAGCATGAGTTTGACCAAATTGCGGAAGGCAGTGGAAGACAGGAGTGCCTGGCGTGCTCTGGTCCATGGGGTCACAAGAAGTCGGACACGACTAAACGACTAAACAACAACAACCTCCAGTTAAGGACAGGTAACTCGAGATTTCCGCAACTGGAGGTGTCTGTTCTGCTCATGCGCACGTCATGGTAGAGTGC